CGACAAGCGACAATTATGTAAGCAGATAGTATGATAGTGACACGCCGGCTGGCGGCCGCGGCCGTGCGTGACATTGTCCTGTGACCGTCACAGGCTTAGGTCACAGCACAATTACACCACACTCTGTTTTAATACACCTTCATAAAAATTTAAATATTTTTTAATGAAATAAACAATTGACTCCACCGTATGATAGTGTGCTGTACAAATAAAAAACCGATTCATTGACTAGATATTTCGATTTGTTACTATTTTTTCAGGGGGGGAAGGGATTGTTAGTAATGCGAACTACCAGTCCCATTGCTAGCATATACTTTGTCAGGTCGACCTCCACGCGGTCCCCCTTTAAACCATTGTGCTGAATTTCAGATGTGTTCATCACGATAGGCTAACTGGCCTGTCTTTGCATTCTCACCTAACACCCCGCACTGGTGCCTCGCCAGCGTATACCGTTAGCGCAGGCGGGTTACCATTCCATTATCGTCCATTAAAAAAGAAAATTCATTTAGAGAGTGATTATGTAACAATTTCTACAAAACCTAGTTATCTTTCCATTAAATTTTGTTAAAACAAACTAGAGAATATTTTGAATCACAAAAAGTGACTTCAGTCGTGTCAAAACATATATGAACGACATGCTAAATGTTTCATTGGCATTTGGAGATTAAATACGATATTTTTTTATACAACTTAGAATGGCAAACAAGCTGACGGCCCAACTGATGGAAAGTGGTAACCGTCGCCTATAGACATAAGCAGTACCATGGACATAACAGAGTACCATATAGTGTTTCGTCCATAATAACCCCCATGCGTTGCCATTCCTGAGGACTCAGGTGTTATTCCTCTGTACCCTGTAAACGCCATATCCCACCCTTCAAACCGAAATACAGCCATGCAAACACAACTGTTCCACGGTTGAAACACGAATGGGACAGAGGTGCTCAAGCAATCGACTTTTGTACAAAGTCTGCCCCCTCTGGTGTCTATCAAAAATAGGATATTTGGAGAACTTTAAAAACTGTGTGTCTAATCATAAATTAGTTTTTAATATATAAAATTAATAATTCTACATAATAACAAATATTAATTCTTCCTTAGCGTTCAGTGTGGTTACTTAGTAACGACTGGCACGTATTCATTGACAATAACTCTATAAAATTAAATATAATAATCAGGACAGTCACGTCGTGTGTGCGCGACCTTCCGATCGACCCGTTGCATCGTCTCACACCACAAACATTGATGTTAATAGATGTAGCTACCGTATTTATTTTTATGTAACGAAATAGTAAGCAAGATGAGCCGACCCACCTGATAAAATTGGTTACCGTCGCCTATAGACATAAACAGTGCCGTGAACATTATAGAATAATGATAAATTATAATTTGTTTGCTAGAAACATAGTTACATAGTGAGATGTTATATAATAATACACTGCGATGTCCGGCACCTCTCATATGCTACCATTTTTAATATTTCTCTTATTGATTAGTGTAGTTTCGTGGTGGTGGGAAAAGGGGGAAAGAAATCGTTAATAATAGGATCTACCAGCCCCATTGCTAGCAACGCACCCTATCAGGTCGACCTCCACGTGGTTCACCTTGAAAACCGTCGTGGTTAATTCTTGTCGAATTCATCATGATGGGCTAACTGGCCTGCTTTCAGAGGGGGAAAGGGATTGTTAGTAATGGGGTCTAACTGACACATTGCCGACAATACACCCTATCAGGTCGACCTCCACGTGGTTCCCCCTGAGAACCGTCGTGGTTAATTCTAGTGAAATTCGTCACGATGGGCTAACTGACCTGCTTTCATCGTCGCCTATCATCGCTCACTAGTTCCCCGCCAGTGTATACCGATAGCACGGGCGGGGTTACCATTCTATTATAACCCGTTAAAAAAAAGTGTAGTTTGGTTGTGTATCTCCATCTATTTATGGTTGCGCGTCACTCTTGACAACTCCAATAAACACGTCACGTATGTTTTGTTGTAGGCAACATGCCGTGAATCGGAAGCATTAGTAAATCCGTCGGTAAGGTCGCTAAGTGATCATAACAAAATAGGTATAAGTTTTATTTGTTTATTTAAGTTTTTAAGATTGTATTTTTCATTTTTTCATACAACTTAGAATGGCAAACAAGCTGACGGCCCACCTGATCGAAAATGGTAACTGTCGCTTATAGACATGAGCAGTATAATTAACATAACAGAGTGGGGGGAAAGGGATTGTTAGTAATGGAGACTGAGAATCCTATTATTAGCAATATACCCAACCAGGTCGACCTCCTCGCGGTTCTCCCTGGAAACTATCATGGTTAATTCCTGATGAATTCATCATGATGGGCTAATTGACCTGTTTTCATTCTCATCTATCATCCTTCACTGGTGCCCCGCCAGTGTATCCCGTTAGCGCAGGCGGGGTTACCATACCATTTTCACCCATCAAAAAAAAAACAACAGAGTATACTGTTTCGCCCATGATACCTCCCATGCGTTGCCATTCCTGAGGACTCAGGTGTTATTCCTCTGTACCCTGTATATTTACTGTTATTTCGGTTGTTTTTCGATATGTTCCGTCTGTTTAATTAAACATCTGTAAGTTTTCATAACATTCTGTGTAAGTTATACTTTTATATATATATATATATATATATATATATATATATATATATATATATATATATATAAGACTAAATATTCTCGTAATACAAGACAACACAAGAAGCAGGCGCGGAGTCATTTAGCCGAGTACGTGCCGAGTGGTGTTTCGATGATGTCGCCTGTTGATGCAACATGTCAATCATTTCATTACACGTCATTCATCTATTAGATATTTCCATAAACGCAACAGTCAATAATACATAAATTGTGAATTATTGCACAATTTATTATAAATTGTTAAAAAGATGTTCGATGAAAGATCGTTTAAAGTTATGTTGCCGGTCTACACTAAAGTTACTCAATAATATCTTTGCAGATATAATAATTTAAATATTTCCATCTATTTAGAATTTAGCTCTACGTAGGTACGTTGTTAACACGAGTTTTTTTTTTAAATAGGTGATAATGGAATGCTAACCCGTGACGAATTCCATAGATTTAACCACGATGAAATTAGAAATAGCCCAAGCATTGGGATTTTCAAATAACGTCTAAAGAATTATTACCTCTCTCAATGCTGATGTACGTACTTATTATATTTGTGTATTATATATAATATATATATCTATCTATTTATATATATTTACTTATATATATTTTTTTATTTATTTATTTATACCTATCGGTCAATTGTAAAGACATTTATTTATTTTTTACTATAACATTTAAATCGATTGGTACACACGTGTGACTGTAACTACTAATGAACTGTCAGTTTTCTCATATTGGGTTTGCTGGAAGAAATCTCTATTGGAGATAAGCTCGCCCTTGTGCACTATTATGTTTGTTTTTACATTTCAATAACCTTTTGTGTACAATAAAGAATAAAGAATGGTTTCCAGGGACAACCGCGTGGAGGTAGACCTGATAGGGTATATTGCCAGCAATGGGTCAGTTAGATCCCATTACTAACAATCTCTTTCGCCCCTGTTAACTCAAATAGGTAAGATAAAGGTTTTGACGTATAAAGTACATGCAATTTGCGACATCTATTTAAATCCCTGTCTGTGTTACGGTATGTGTGTGCGACACACGCGCAACTAATCGTTACGGGATATTAGAACATCGCACACCAGCAGTTTTTATGTAGTATATAATTATGGCGTATGGTGAAGACCGCCTCTACTCAGTGCGCACTATGCTATTGACCACTTCGCTTGGCCTGATTTCACTGGTGCTCATCGAGTATGGCGCGGCGGTGTACAGGGGTGCGACCGCGCGCCCACCGGACCGAACACGCCGGAATATCTTAGAGTTGGTTGGGCAACCGCCACACTCCGGTGCTTTCTTTCATTTATGGTGCAAATAGGAGACTCGGGCGATAACAGATTGAACAATTTCAAAAATCGTGACTAGGCGTAGAATACGTCGCTCACAGTACCCATACTCTATCTATCACGGTAATATCTGTAATTCCATTATCTTTCTTTAGTCATTTTAAAATTACACGACTCTACTTAGATAAAAAAATAGAGACCGTCAAATACCTTCCAAAAAGTAGTGGTTGGAGGTTCCCGATTTGTCTATACTTTTTTCTACACGTATTTCGAGCAGATATTTTTGCAATCAATAGCACTTACTCTCATGGCATAGGCAGTCTCTTCTGGTGGTAGAAACAGAAGTGAAACTGAGAAAGTGTTAAGATTTGTTTAAATATTTATACTTTAGCACACATTATAATATGTGTACAGGACGGACTTAATGCCTGATGGCATTCTCTACCAGTCAACTGTTACGCTAAACAGAGGGAGTAAATGGCGCTACATTTATTTAACAAAAACATTAACATCTCAATACTATGGTTTTTCTGTAATTTAACATGAGCTAACGGCTCTTCCGATAAAAAGCGATTAACCATCGCCAATAGACATGAACAGCGCTAGTACTAGACGATGCTGCAATTGTTCAGTTCTGAAAGTTCATCACTTGGTGCCAGTTGAATCGGCTTAATATTACACGACGCGGCGACGCGAGGATGTTCCGACCTCGGAACAATGGTGTGTTCTTATTGTTAGCCAATTGCTCGGACGTGTGGTGTTGGCTGGTGGCTGTTGGCCGGTGCACCAGGTAGGTAGTATCTACATGTCACGGCACATGCTATGTTGCGCGCGAAACGGCTCATTAAATGTTGGCCAATGAAACAACCGACTGAAGAATGTACATCTGTCATAATCGAAACTCTTTATTTTTCTTTTGAAATGGATGACATCAGAATCGTATGTAACACACGAAAAAATGTGGACGGTATATTTGAAATCAAAGTTAAACATATTAAACGTAAAATATATATTATTCATCATATATACAATAAAATGTACCCTCTCAGGTAATAAGTCTAATCGTCTGCGAAGTCGTCATCATCGAGGTCGAATCCCGGCGGCTGCTTGAGAGGCAGAGGGTCCAGCTCTCGGTCCTGCGTCCAGTAGTAGAACAGAGTGGCGCGGTAGCCCTCCCCCCCACCACGCACGTACTTGCGCGCGAGCCGCGCCTGCGCCGACGACACACGTACCACGCGCCTTCCTCCTGCCCCTTGCGACCCTTCCATCACTATGCTATACGAGTCCCTCGCCTCATCGCTGTACAGTGAAAAGCGTCTCTCGGTGAGGCATCGAATATCTGTTATAGTTGGATGATCTGAGAGCAACAGCAATTCTATATCTGTTAGAGAAATGTCCAAATCCAGGCTGTACAGTGTCGGCAGAGCACGCGCCATCTCCAGTATGTTGCACGACGTCAGCCGGCACCGCCATAGCTCCAACACCTTCAGGCCGGGGAGTCTCCGCGCCAGTGGCAGCGCGTGATCATCCCCAAACCACGTCGCACTCAGGCACAGTTCCTCCACGTGAGGAGGCAATTGATCAATGAAAACAGAGAGTGCGCGTGTCCGCACCATCCTCGCGCCGGTAATGTGGAGCCGTCGCAACTTTAGTAACCGCGTCGTGTGCAGCGCTCCAGCTCCGGTCATAAGCCAACATGAGTACAGCTGAAGAGATGTTAAATTGGAGCACTGACCAATCGCATCGTAAGCGACGTCAGTCAGCTCTGTGCAGCGGAGCGTCAGCTCTGTGAGGTGGTGCTGTCGAGCTCGCAGCACGGCGAGTAGCTCTCGCTGCGGGTAGTACAGTGAACGGCCGAACATATGGATACAGCGGACTCTCTCACTCTTGGCCAGCGCGCGGAGCACGCCCGGCGTAACTGTCTCATTAATAACCAATGAGTTCAGTCGCATTAGAACTGGCAGCAAACCCATTTCTATTCTCCTGTTCCGTATAAATACATCCAAATGATCGAGGTGCCGCAGACGATGTAGAGCTGCGATGGTCTCATCTCCGAACGAGTTGGTGGCCTGGATTGTTAGTTGCCGAAGATGTGGGGCGACATCAATGACATTCGCGAGACAAGCCCGCAATGAGTCGAGACACCCGCTTACGTGCAGAGCGATAACGCCGCGATGCAGCCGCTTCACGTCATCCTGGCGCTGCACTTCGACTACCCGGCGACGCAGGAGGGCGTTCCACCGCCGACATACCTCTGCAGCTGCTGCCAAAGCCCGCGATGGCAAATGCTCGAAGATCATCAACATAACCTCGTCTGGCAAGTTCTCCATGTTTGTCAGCCATCTTTCCTGATTATGTGATTCATCCAAAAGAGAAAAACATTATGTTCTACCGTAGTATAATATGAGAATACGATAATTTTCATTTATTATTATTATGTAAATATCAAAACAAAGAATATGATAAACTGACTGAGTGACACTTGGAATGACGTTTAAGGTGATGTGACGTTTCGTTAACGAAATGTTACGATCTCTCGAATTGCAAAATTTATATAACTTAAATATTTATTTTACATTGACACCGATATCATAAATATAGTGGATATTGTCATCATAAAAATATATAATTCTAGTGTTTAGGTAATGATTTTCATGTACTAAAGAAATCATTAATAAATATTTTAATAAATGGCCCAATTGCCCATAGACATAGAATAGAACTTAGCTTTTAACTTTATCATCACTTTGAATATCAGCTGATTGTCAATGTCAAAATCGTATGTTGTAACAGCAAGTTTGCAATTTTTGTTATTATTTTTTTATTTCTAAAAATAATAAATAAATTTGACTTTGAATAATTTAGTTAGAAATGCGTTTACTTACATTTAGTTTTCTTAAAAATTGTAAATGGAAATCTATATGGTTACAGAGTCCTAGGAAGATTAGCAATGACACAGTTCAATCTAAAATTTTAGAAAATATTACAGGTAAAATAATTTAAAAAGTGTTTACTTGCTTAATAAGTGCATAGCGAAGATCTTGGTGACAAGGGAATAGATAGCTGATCCTCTGATTACAATACAAACATTTGTTTTCACGAGTTTGTCTGTTTTTATATATAATAATTATTGTTATGGATTTACGAAATAAATAGTAATATACGTTAGTACTAGAAGTGTGTAATATGGATATATTATCATATGATAATATCCAATGATCCAACTAATAACATTGTCCTTAATGCTGCATTACTGACATAGTTTTGAGACTAAATGAAATATCTACTTGAAAAATATATTACCTGTCAACTCTTATAGATTGTATTATACATGTTCTATAGTTTATGATAATAATTTACTTCAGGGGGGAAAGGGATTTTTAGTAATGGAGACTAAGAATCCTATTGCTAGCAATATACCCAACTAGGTCAACCACCTCGCGGTTCTCCTTGGAAACTATCATGGTTAATTCCTGATGAATTCATCATGATGGGCTAACTGGCCTGTTTTCATTCTCATCTATCACCCTTCACTGGTGCTCCGCCAGCGTATCCCGTTAGCGCAGGCGGGGTTATCATATCATTTTCACCCATAAAAAAAATTTACTTCAAATGTGTAGTATTTTTTCTTTGCCACCATGATATTCTATTATTTATTTCCAGCGGTATTGAAAGAATCTATCTCTCTATAAATATCCTTAAAAGATTTAAGATTTAGAGATTTAGATAGAAAAGATTTAGGTATAAGATTATCTGTGTGCTTTAAAATCAATGAATTATAATATTTAATTTAATTAATGTTTTTCTGGTTTTTATAATACAACTAGTTGACTTAATAAACCTTATTTGCCCCCTACTACTGCCTGTAGGATCTATTTTTTCTTATCGGGATAAAACTATCCTATCTGTTAAGTCAAAGTAAACAATAGATGTTTATAAAATTTCATTAACAGCTAAGCCATTTTGATGGTTAGCACGAATGAACTTTGTGACATGGAAATTTTATATATTTAAATAATGTACCAGGGGATCCTGATCTAATATACATACACCCATCATGGAAGGCGGACGAAGAGCCGGAACTTCGTGCTGCAATCATGAATGACATGCAAGTACTGCCGGATTTTGTCACTGAGGCAGAAGAGGCGTCATTATTGGCTGAACTGGAGCCTTATCTCAAGAGAATGAGATATGAATTTGATCATTGGGATGATGTAAGTTTACATAAAAGTTCTCTAAAGAGCCTGACAAAGGCATTATAGATACTCTTTGTATCACATTTGATGTCATTGATCTGACACAAGATTGTTATTTCTCTTCTCCTCATCAGGTATCAGTTTTTTTATTTACATAATTGAGAAATTGACTTATGAATCTACGGAAGATGAGATGATGATGGACACTGATGAGTCACATCACACCATTCGTGCATAATCAGGTATGCACCTGAGCGCAGCTTGCTGATATTTCCCCCCTTAACCAACACTTGGTTCCTCGACGGGAGTCGATGTGCGGCGGCACGAGATCTGAGCCGCTCTGGTGCCCTTGGGCGTATGCTGTAGTCCATCAGTAAGAGTCGACACTCTTACGTTCGTCGCTCCTCTCTTGCAGGCTTGGAGTGTTATCCACATTTACCCCTGCATGCGCCTGGTAAAGCTGTAACGCTCATCTCTGGTCAATGGCAATTATAAATCGAAAAAAATGTATTTTAGTTCTAACTGCAAAATCGATACCATCACGCCCAGACTTCTCTAGGCTCTGCTGTGCATGCATGCACACACGATCTTGACGATTTATAACTTGCTTAACCTTCAGAGTATATTATTCACTTCAAACGGACTATAACTGTAATCACTTGATAGAGAAGAGTTCCATACTAGCATTACTTGAATACTACTTATGTTCAAGAATATAAGTGGACTGTATGTACGATAAGTTTTTTAAAAGATCTGAGTATGCGATAACCGACAAGTTGTTTTAAATTACTACTAAGTTACCTAGATTCAAACTTAGTTCAAATTACTTACCCTTTGATTAGCGAAAATTCCTTTTACGACATACCCAGATCACTCAGTTCCCTAAAGCATGCTAAAGTTACCTGAGATTACCTCGTAAATGTTATAAGAACTAAGCGTTTCGATCTTGAATCTTCCGACAGACGTTTCAATCTTGAATTGTCTTTTTAAATATTTAAGAACGACACGAGAAATTATCTTTTGCGTAGTTTCTTTTTATAAAATAAAAATATTAAATTATAAAACTAAAGTCTCACGATTGTGAAATTAAATGTTATACTTATTAAATACTTTATGAGCGACAACGACAAAACTGTTCTGTTTTTGTATTTAAGAGCTGACACCAACAACCTTTTTTTATCTTTCTACCTCCAATTATAGTTCATTATGCAGCGGGCAGCAACTGAGGCATTGATGGACGAGCGTGCAAATGTAGGCCGAGGCGTAGCCGAGACACACATACGTCAGTCCATTAATGCCTAGTTGTGGCCAAGGCTTGTATAGTACTTTTCTCAAACAATGCGCGGAAATTAAAAACACAATTTTACTTTTTAAGTTCAATGACGAATAACGAACAATAATAATTTTTCACGCGCCATAATGTTCTTTTGTATTTTTTTTTTCAATAAACAGCTTTCTATTCGCAAGCCATTTTGAAATTTAAATAAAACCTTTTATTAGTTACCTCCTTGGTACTCATGTTTCGAAGTAAAAGGTCATTCCATTTTTAAATGACAGGACAGATATGAGTTTACATAGTAATTTATCTGGCCGCAAAACACGACAGATATGTATTTTCATACAACTTTTGCCGGCCGCTGCCCGCATGTATCTGGCCAGTACAGCAATTTTGATTTATCTCGAAGAAGATTGTCAAAATAATGCTCACATTTCCAAGCATGTTTGAGAAAAAGTTATTAATTGCCACATACAAGAATAAAATGTCTTTTATGAATTATCGAGAATGTTGCCATGCAATTATTACATCTAAAGTGAACAGCTTATAATGATTTTGTCTGTATGATCACGATATATTGATTGATCATAATAAAAAAATATCCTTTGCTCTTCTCCATTGCAAATATGTGTAAACAAAACTTCCTTGATTGGTCTAGTTATTCAGGTCCTAAGAGATGACAAACCAAACTTACTTTCAAATATATAATGTAAGGATGACTTTAGTACTGTAGACTGTAGACTTTAGACTGTCTCTGGTATGGTATAACGATCACCTATCGTTATACCATACCATAGAGTTTGTACAAAACTTGATTGCTTGGGCACCTCCATGTGCTCAGCTCAGACGCAACTGTTCGTCAGCTTGTTTGCCATATATGTGTAGGCGATCCAAGGGTTTCGCGAGACGGAGCGTAGCAGGTGGAGCGCGGTGAACGGCGGCGTGCTGTCGCGTGTGCGGGCGACCGCGTTCGCGGCGAGCGAGCCGCTGCCGCACGTGCACGTGCTCGACCTGGCCGCCGCCGGACACATCAAGCCGCATATCGACGCTGTTCGGGTGAGGAATGCACCATTTTTTACGATCCATGGCACCATAAAAGGCCTGAGCGGATGATGACCTTCAACACACATTTTGCCAACCATAACACATTGCATGCTATATTTCATAATGTGACCATTAATGTATGTGACGGAAAAGAAAAACTAATCTATGCAGATCTGAAATCTATGATTTTTTTTTAATATCAACGTGATGAATTGAGAATTGACTAACTTTTTTGTTCGTTGAAAGAGACTATTATATATCGTTTAAATGTTTTATTACAAAACAAACACACACAAAGTCGATGTTCATTCATGTTTCAAGAATAGATATTTGAACTGTGTTTCGGTTTGAAGGGATATGTGAATTTACTAATGGTCCTCAGATAATATAATCAAGGGCGATATTACTCTGTTATGTGCATGGTACTGCTCATGTCTATAGGCGACTCACCACTTTTCATCAGTGGGCCGTCAGCTTGTCTATTCTAAGTTGTATAAAAAATATATATATAACCCTATCACGTCGACCTCCACGCGGTTCGCCCTGGAAACAATCATGAATAAATTTTTTAGAATTCATCACGATGTGCTAACTGACCTGCTTCATCGTCACTAATCATCCCTCACTGGTGCCTCGCTTGTGTATACCGATAGCGTAGAAATGTGTAGTACATTTTGTTTCCTGTTCCGGTCTTCTATTCGTAATTTAAATTTAAAATTAAAATTTGCAAAGTCAAAGAGTGAACAGGTCAGGCATAATATTGGTGTGATATGTTTGTTGGCGGTGGCTGGTGCTGCGTGCAGTTCTGCGGCGAGGTGATCGCCGGCGTGAGCCTGCTGTCGGCGGCGGTGATGCGCCTGCAGCATGCGCAGCGCCACCACTTGCAGTTCGACGCGCTTCTGCCGCAGCGGTCGCTTTACATTATGAGGTAATTTTATATATTTTCTTATATATTCTGCAGAAACATTGCTTAATATTTCTCTTGAAAAATATGTTATAAAAAAAATGTTGATATAGGTATTTATTATTTTTTTATAATCTATGTATATAGAATTTTTTTTTAATGGGTGATAATGGTAATCCCACCCGCTTTATCGGTATACACCGGGCGGAGCACCAGTGAAGGATGATAGGCGAGGACGAAGCAGGTCAGTTAGCACATCGTGACGAATTCAACAAGAATTGTTCACGATGGTTTCCATGAGGTGATCTAATAGGAATGGGGTTGTCAAACTCCATTGCTAATAATCCTTTTCCCCCACATACGTATGTATTAGATAAGAGAACTTTAGAATACATAGTGTCTCGTTTTATTTCAAGTACGCGGTAGCAACAGTACTACAAGTATATTCGTCTATATATTTATATACGTATGTGTGTGTGTGTGCGTGCGTGCGTGCGTGCCTGTGTGTGTGAGTGTGTGCGCGTGCGTGCGTGCATGCATGCGTGTGTGTGTGTGTGTGTGTGTGTGTGTGTGTGTGTGTGTGTGTGTGTGTGTGTGTGTGTGGAGGATTGTCGATTTTGATCCTGTGTTTGTGTGGTGGCAGGGGCGCGGCGCGGTACCAGTTCACGCACGCCGTGTGCGGCGGCGACGGTGAACAGAGCACGTGGCGCGGGGAGGTGATAAGACGCCGCCGCCGCGTCGCGCTCATCACCCGCAGCCAGCCGCGAGCGCAGGACGCCTGCTGACACCAACAGGTGCGAGTGACAGGGGACACATTCCTTTTTTTAATGGATGATAATGGAATGGTAACCCCTTGCCTGCGCTAGCGGGGCACCAGTGTGGGATGATAGGTGAAAATGAAACAGGTCAATCCACCTTGATGAATCTAACAATAAATCAATCGCAATGGTCATCAGTATATTGCTAGCAATGGGGCTACTAATCCCCATTACTAACAATCCCTTCTCCACCCGAGAACAAATTACTAACAGTATACAGTGACACCTCGATCTCCCACAATACGGTTTCCAGTGGAAACCGTTATAACTAATTCTTAGTAAATCGATCACTGACTACCGCTGATCCTATCAGCAGGGGGGAAGAATTGTTAATGATGGGGAGGATAGTCCCCATTGCTATCAGTATACATTATGAGGTCGATCTCCACGCGGTTTCCCCTGGAAACCATCTTGACTAATTTATCATTGAATTGGTCACGATGGTCTAACTGATCTGCCTTTTCATCCCCACAAATCATTTTTCACTGGTGTCCTACCAGTGTATACCAATAGCGCAAGCAGGATTACCATTTATCATCCACTAAAAAAAATCCTATCCGCGTATACCAGAAGCCCAGACGAAGTTACCGTTCCGTTTTCACTTTTCCAGCTAGTAGAATACCGAAACATGAATAGTTTATTTTATAGTACCCAAAGTGAAACGCAGACTAGCAGTCCATCTAATTAAAAAATAGCAACTATCTCTCATAAACATTATAGTATAAAAGAAAGTAAAGATTTATAAGATCGTTTTAACGTAACCGTCATCATTTCCTTAGTAAGTAACCTTTGTCCTTTCATTACAGCGGCACGAGTGAGCGGATGCGCAGTTTGCATTGTTTCACCTCATAGTATTAGTCAATTGGTGCTTCTCGTATTGTCCTATTTTAAATTATGTTTTGTATAAGTAATGTAAATATGTAGTAATGGAAAAATGTGATAAAATAAAAAAAGTGTGAATTATAAATGTATGACATAGTAAATAAATAAACCAAAAAGAGTTAACCAAATGTATGTTTGTTCTATGGACTTGAATTCATATAAGTTTTCTCAGTTTGGATTAGATCTACTAGATGCTATAAATATATATATATATATATATATATATATATATATATATATATATATATATATATATATATATATATATATATATATATATATATATATATATATACACACGAATGTCGATCTGACCCATTCGTGTTTCAACCGTCCCATTGTGTTTGCATGGCTGTGTTGCAGTTGTTATGGCTGAATTTATTGGGTACAGAGGAATAACACCTGAGTCCTCAGGAATGGCAACGCATGGGGGGTATCATGGGCGAAACAGTATACTCTGTTATGTCCATGTATACTGCTCATGTATATAGGCGACGGTTACCACTTACCATCAGGTGGACCGTCAGAGATATATTATAGAGGTAGTAACAACATATATATGTCTGTAACATCTAAATGTATCTAAATGAGTATCTAAATGATAAAATTGTACAGGAACCGGATTGTAAATGGCAAAAATATGAAAAAATTAGACTCGCCGACTACTACGATACAGTTGCGAGCCTAGTGTAGTAATCACTGTATAAGAAATTGTGTACCCGACTTTTAGCTACAATAAAGTTATTATTATTATTATTATTAACACTAACCTCCCAGGTAAAACCTCCCTGTTGTACATCTTTTACGATAAAGAATCTTTGTGTGCTATAAAGTATAAACAAACACTTTTGCCCGCTTTCTACAATATTTCATACCGGTTTAATTTGAACTGTGACATATATATAGTCAATTGTTAATTTACTCTTAGTATATTACAAATTATATGACTAATTCCATCTCATTTCAATTAAAGTCTTGTTATTGCAAAATATATTTTATTTCATCTATATTACAATAGAGGATAGCTAAATTAAATCTCCTATTAGGACTACGCTCGAGTCGATACTCCTATATACATAATGTATGTATGTATGTATACTTCAACAGGACTCGAATGAATTGGATGAAAATATATTTGAGTCGATTCTAAAGTATCATTCTATATTTATAAAATAAACATTTCATTTTTATATTACAGTGAAATCTGTATTCCAAAAACTATAATGCACTAATTAATAGATTTTACTACAAACGCGGTGTAGGACCACCCCTCCACTATATGTAGCTACACAACCTTAAATATATTGCAGGCAGTCAGTGGATGCAGGTGTCTCAGGACCGTTCCTTATGACAGAGTATGGGGGAGACCTATGTTCACTAGTGAACAGATAATGGCTGAGGTGATTTTAAAAATAAAACATTAAAAAAAAAAAAACAAACAAAACAAAAGTACATAAAAGAAGTTACATAATTTCTCGTGAATGCGCCACAGTAACACGAAATGGTCACAACTTATTGTTTTGCCCTCAAAACTATAAACTGAGTTGCGAAAATTCTTGACAAAAAAAAAAAGGTTTTTGATGAGATAGCTACAAACTACATTAAATTTAGTTCTTTGATATTTACTATCAAATAAAAAATTTAAACAGCGTACTATCTACGCAATGCTGCAATCCAGTTGTGAGCCGCGCTCATGAACAAAGGCTGCTTCGAGTCCGAAACTAAGTCAGACAACCCTGTCCTTACTACGTGCACTCACAGCCGATATAAATAATTATTAAAAATATAGAGATAGGTATAGAAAATAACACCTCAGAATCGACACCAAAACCTGCATTTTAAGACGTTCTTCAAAAAAACTTACATCCATACACGATTTGTATGAAAGTAACACAAAAATAAACCATTCCATCAAAATCGGTTCACAAATAGAGAAAAATTGTAAACGTAAAACTATACACATATAATTAAGAAGCAAATTTTGAAGTCCAATGAAAACTAATGACTTAAACATTTCCCTAACGCGAGCTGGTGGTCTACTCTCGGTACTCCATATCATCGAGGGCCTCCATTTCGAGGTACTCGACCTCCCCCTCGGTGCCGGGGTCAGCGGTCGCCTCCACCTCCATGTCGTCACCCTCGCCGTCCACCTGGGAGTCATTGCCTTCCTCCTATAAAATATATTTTTTATAAGACATAGAATTGCACACATGCTCTCAACGCAGTGATGGATGGGAAGTGGTAACCATCAACTATATATGAGGGAAAAGGGATTTTTTGATGGGTGAAAATGGTATGGTGACCTCGCCTGCGCTAACGGGATACGCTGGCGGAGCAACAGTGAAGATGAGAATGAAAACAGGTCAGTTAGCCCATCATGATGAATATATTAGAAATTAACCATGATATTTTCCAGGGGAACCGCGAGGAGGTCGACCTAGTTGGGTATATTGCTAGCAATGGGATTCTCAGTCTCCATCACTAAAATCTCCCCCCGGGGAGGAGGGTTTGTTAGTAATGGAAACGTGAATTTCCATTTTTAGCAGTATTCAATTCAGGTCAAACACGGTTCCTCTTAGACAAACTATGGTTCATTAATTCTTGATGAATCCGACACACTGACCTAGTTTCATTCTCATAACCACCATTAACTGGTGCCCCACCAGCATATACCGATAGCGTAGGCGGGGTTACCATTCTATTCACACCCATATAAAAAAACCCATATAGACATGAACAGCACCAAGGATAGCACAGAATACATTGTCATGTGCATGCCACATGTGTTGCCATTCTCAAGGACTATGATGCTATGCCTCTATCTGTAACTTTACTGCCATACTCCACTCTTCAAACTGGAACTTAGCCATGCAATTACATCTATGAGACAGAGGTGCCCGAGTAAGTGACATTTGTACAAAGCCACACTCTGCTCTACCTCTACTCATACCTCTTTCATTAAAACCTGTTCAGCCGTGTTTGAGCAACAAACATACAAGCAACTAAGCGGATTGGTAACCGCAGTTAGACTTTAGAGATGTTTTGAGAGGGATGCGGCTGCCCATCCCTCGCCCTCTCTTAGTCGCCTCTTACGACACCCACAGGAATGGAAGGAGTGGCCTATTCTATGCCGGGACCACACGGCAAATACTAATAATAAATAGTAACTTAGTAAATATGAATTAGTTGGTACCTGTGAAACGAAGCGGTCGGTCCGGTGGACGCGAGCGTGTCGCTTCATGGCCGCCACTGAGCCAAATCTGTCCAAATAAATGCATATGTTAACATTTTAAACACAATAATAGTAAGTGTCTTACAATCACACCAAGTGCCTGATTCCTAAACTAGGAGATCCTATGTTATGAGGAACAGACGTCTGGAGACACAACCTAGTACACCCAGTCCCGAGCAAATTCAGAAAATTTCCTAAATTTGACCCACCCGGAATCAAACTCACCACGAAAGTACTGAAGTAAGTAAAAATAAAAAGTAAAAAAAAAATGAATATTCAACAACAACAGCCCATAGAGATCGGACTCGCGCCAAAGAGAGAACTAATCGGGCGACTTGATATTATCTTAAGTATAGGTTTTTATCAGAAATTATGCCAAAATTTTTTGCAATTTCAAATAAAAACCCAAATATGTTAGCGAAAATGAAAAAGTTCCATATTCATTTGTAAGATAAACGATGATTTCAAATTTCGAACTTCTTTGATTTCGACTCGCTCGTACGTTTTTTAAACTCTTTTGTTCATCGAGAAAGAGTATCATGGAACTGATCTAGTTCCCTTAGACAAGTACTAAATTAATCTATCGGTAAATACGTTTTCGTTACCACCTGCACGAAAAACTACAAGACGTAAGAAATTGCTATTGCTTTTTATTTCATGCGGCAAGTAAAAAATGTCTATCAATCTTTCGTCAATTGTCTATGGACAGTACGTACGTGCGTCCGCAGCGGTCGCAGGTGGGCGTGGGTGCGGAACTGGGCGCGGCGGACGGCGGCGCGGCGCCGTTGGCGGCCGGCGCGGCCGCGTGGCAGCGGCGGATGTGCGCCAGCAGGTAGCCTCTGCGGACCGGGCAAAAATCTATTTGTAGGACTAATATAGCTGATAACAATTGTATAATTTCTAATAATTTCCTTCTAAAAACTGTAACTGATGCTAATAATCATACACAGAAACCCGTTGGAATATTTCTCGAATTTTCCAAGGTATTTGATACTGTTTCCCACTTTATTCTACTACGGAAGCTCGAAGTAATTGGAATAGGAGGCGTGACTCTTAGATGGTTTTCTGGTTATCTTAAAAGGAGAAACCAAATCGTAGTCGTAGATGAATATAAAAGTAATACATCATATATTTCTTTTGAAATTCCCCAAGTATCCTCGGGCCTACACTGTTTTCTATTTACATGAATGACCTCTGCCGTCTATTTGATGATGACAACAACGTCCAAGTGATCTGTTATGCTGATGACACTGCAATAATTTGCACACAAGAAAATTGGATTTCTGTTTTTTCTGCAGCTAACTCGGCCATGAAGATTGTAACAAATCGGTTGAGAGCAAATCTACTTTAAACACTGCAAAATCTAAATATGTTTGTTTTCACAACACCAAAGCTTCTAGTCCCCCTACGTCATTATCCTTGACTATCCATAGATATTCATGTGATGATAACAAAATCTGCAGTTGTGATTTCCTTGATAGGGTTGATGAAGTGAAATATTTGGGATTAATCTTGGATCAAAGATTGACTTTTGCTTCTCATATCCTTTCTAAACGTATACGAAAACTTATACATGTTGTGAAGCTTTTGCATAACAGCGCGAGCAAAAATGTTTTATTACTTGTATATAGAAGCATGTGCATCACTGTTGATGTACTGCATCACAGTGTGGGGCGATGCATCAAAATCTTACATGATTGCACTTGAAAGGGCACAAAGATCTGTCTTGAAAGTAATGTTTAGGAAACCAATTCGTTTTCACACTTATCTTTTGTATCAGGAGGCTGCTATTCTGACAGTGCATCAACTTTATATACTTAAAGCAATAAGCCCGCAAAAATCTTCGGACCAGAGAAGGCGCAAAATAATCATCTCTCGCATTAATACTGCATTCGCCAAGCGCTTTCGTTATTATTCGTAGAAAATGCACAGAGATGCGACATCTCTACGCAGTTTCAGTGGGTCAAGTCGGACAATAATGCGCTGATCGTCAATAATTCGCCATTCTAAGTTGTATAAAAAAAAGTATTTCATATGTGCCGTGGCATCGGCTGGCAAGTGTTCTAGCCTCAATATTTTTGGATTCAGAAGGGATATTGTTGATTGATTACCTAGAGCGTGGAACCACTATTACAGGTCAATATTATGCAGCTTTAATTTCCGAGTTGAGGAATACCATTAAAGAGAAAAGGAGAGGAAAACTTCGAAGGGGCGTGTTTTTTCATCATGACAACGTACCCACGCACAGGTCAGCAGTTGCGATGGCTGCCATTTAGCAAGCTGGCTTCGAATTGGTTGGCCACTCCCCTTATTCAACAGATCTGGCGCCTAGCGACTATTATCTGTTCCCCAAATTGAAAGAATACTTAAAGGGAAACAGGTACGAAGACGATAACGAAGTGGTGGATGCCGTGGAAAGCTTTTTGCAGGATCAAGACAAGCCTTGGAAAAGCGTTGGACTCGGTGTGTAGAGGGACTCGGAGACTATGTAGAAAAATAAATTATTAAGTTATCAATAGTCATTATATTCTATTTCATTCTCACTAATTTTTGGTTCCTCCTTGTATTATCAAGAGAAGTGTTCCGAAATAAGCACTTCTCTCGTAAACTGTTCACAGTTGCACAAGAAGACTTATTCGAGACACTGAACGTGGTAATAATATGAATGGTGAGTAGATATCTAATTTTCGATAACGTAATGTTATTAGCTACAACGCTGGTGAATTCCATTCGAATATTGAATAATCTGAATGCTACCTCACGCTACCGTCGACGGTCAGGAGATTAAAAAAGTCAAAGATTATCTATACCTTGAACAAGTCTTGATTTGTAAACGCATGCAATTCAACTGGGCAGCACTTAGGAAATTCCGCGACGTCTTTATCGCACAAATTCTTTAAAGACAAACATTTTTAATCAGTGCGCCTCTCCGCCATGACTTACAGAGAAAATTGTAGAGCTAATTTATCAATTAATAGTCGCATGAAAAATTACATAAAGAGATATAGTTGAAAATTCTCTAAGAAATACCATTGTAAACGAAGACATCCGACAAAAAACTTTAGGAAATGATTTATCTCTTAAAGTTAATGATACGAAGCGGCAGTGGATGGCCATATTTGTAGTCGGTGGCGGACGGGTACCTGGTGGCGAATCGCAGGATGCAGCCGTCGTAGCCGCAGACGAACTGGTCAGCCTGGCGGTGGCGCAGCAGGTGCGCGGTGAGCGCGGCGGGCTCGGCGAAGGTGCGGAAGCAGGCGGCGCACACGTGCGGCGCCGCGCCGCCGCGGCCGTGCGCCGCCGCCGCGTGCGCCGCCAGCGCCGCGCGCGACGCCGCCGCCGCGCCGCACGCCGGACATACAGCCGCGCACCCGCCCGCGCCCGCGTGCCGCCGCAGCTCGCCCGCGCCCTGCGCACGCGCCCTCTACAGCCCGCCACTCCACGCTACTCCAGTTGCATTGTTTCGTCGATATCTAACTCGTTTGAAAAACTTCAACAAACTAAAAGTAGCCGAGTAACACTGATAGTGCGACCGCTAGCGAGCGATTACGCTGGAAAGTTATAATGCGACAACACAGAGAGACGAGACGCAGCGAGCGAGGCGGACAGGCGACGTACCTGGAAGTGCGTGTTGCAGAGGTAGCAGGTGTGCACGCGGAGCGGCTCGTGGTCGGCGGCGTGGCGGCGCAGCGCGTCGCGCGACGAGAACTGCGCGCCGCACGTCCAGCACGAGTGCAGCGCGTCGGCCGCGTGCACGGCGGCGTGCGCGCGGTACTGCGACACGCGCTGCGGACCGAGCAGGCTCAGTGTCTAGTGCTGCGTGTCCAGTGTCTAGTGTCTAGTATCCCGACTGTGCGCCGCACGTCCAGCACGAGTACAAGGAGTCGACCGCATGCTACGCGGTCCAGTATCTAGTACTACATGTCTATTGTCTAGTGTTGCATATGTAATATTTAGTGTTGCGTGTAATGTCACAATTGTATCAGTGTTATTTATTTATTACTAGCTTTTTGCTTGCTACTGTATATGCATTGATTTTAGAAAAACAAAATCTAATACAATAATATTTTTTTATTAAAACAGAAAATATTAATTGCCAGAAAAACACATAATTATAAAATACAGTAATATAATGTATAAGTGTGTTCAATTAGGCAAAAGGAACTGGTTCAGTTGTTGCTGTAAACGTCTCACTGCAATGTATACAACCACTGAAATGATTTGATTAAATTGAAAATAGAATTAAATTTTCAACCAGTTCCTCTCTGATCACAATACAAGAATGTATAATGGCTGATAATGGAATGGTAATTCCACCTGCGCTATTAGTATATGCTGGCGGTGTACCAGTGAGAGATGATAGATGAGGATGAAACAGGTCAGTTAGCCCATAGTGATAATAAAAGTTGCTGTGGTGTTAATATTAAATAATAAATGTTGTTACCATTAAATTTTAGATTTTATGTTACAAATGTAATTAAAATATAAATGTTAACAAATATATGCCACAGGACACTGGCTTTTTTTGGGTCCAACACATTAATACGATTCATATACAAGTGACATCAGTATTTATTTCCTACTACACCAAACAATGTGAATTTTAGAAAAGGTAATCAAACAAACCACTTCTAGGTGTTGTATAAGATACATAAATTAAACTGAAGGTCTAATATGTATACGAACACAACTAATACTAAAAATAATGAAACAAATACCTGGAATGACTGCGGGCACACTGAACATTGATACACATTATCTCCGCGAGCATTCCGTGCTCGCTCCAGGTCCTCATCATCCGCTACAGCTGCAGCAGCTAACACATCTTTCTCCACCATGATGATATCATCTTCACTATACGTGCCATTGGCATTAGCTCCAGGTCCACCCACCACAATGAATACATCAATTTTTTGGGTCAGTTCATGTAACCTCCTCCGTAATGCACGAATTTTCTCACTAAGGGGAGGAGTGTTTTTAGCCGAGAGTGACGAACTGAACTCATAGGCTTCAATAGCTCTTTGGATGCAGTTCGAGCACAATCTACCTTCTGGGACAACCTGTAACAATATAGATAAAAGAATAAATATTATACTTTTTAATTATATAATTGACACAAGATAATCTTATGTTTAATTCTGATGTTTTAGCTCGTCCATGTGAGTGAAATATATTTATTGACTGGGATAAAGAGAAGTCTATGTTCTCCTACATCCCTAGCATTATGTATAAATTAATAAATAAATAAATAAAATAAAAATAAAAATAGCCTTTATTCCTGAATTACAGATTTTTTTAAATTGTAAATATGTATAAATAATGTTGACATCAGCAACATCTTATTTTTCAGGTTGTTCTAGAACATAGGCCTCCTCCATATTTCTCCATTGGTAACGATTCTTTGCAGCTTGTCTCCAGCCTTTGGGCAAATCATCCTCCCATCTTCTTGATTGGCCTACCTCGGTTTCTTTTTCCATCACGTGGATACCACTCAATTAAATCTTGGGTCCATTTATTTTTTGATGACTTCATATATATCCAGTCCATCGCCATTTGAGCTTTTTTATTTTAAGAGTCACATCTGTAATGCCAGTTCGTTTTCGAATATCAGTGAGTCGCTGTTTGTCCTTTAATCTGATGCCAAGTATACTTCTTTCCATACCTTGCTGACATACTTTTAATTTCTGTATAGTTTACAAAAAATGCTCCAAGAACTTATGTATAAATTACATGTAATTTATTACAAGTGAAATAAAGAATATAATAATTATATATTAAAATTTTATAAATTGTATAAAATTGATGAACCATTAATGCTAAAAATGTTAAACAAACTTATAGGCAAAACAGTACACTCTGTTATGTCCATGGTACTGCTCATGTCTACAGGTGACAGTTTTTTTAAGGGGTTAAAATGACATGATTACCATGCCATTTTCCCGCCTACGCTATCAGTACACATTGGCAGGGTACCAGTGAGAAGTGATAGGTGAAAATGAAAAGGCAGGTTAGTTAGGGCATTGGGAGGAATTCAATGATAAATTAGTCATGATAGATTGCAGGGGGAATGGCTGAAGATCGACCTGATATATATATATCAGGTCGATCTTCAGCCGATTCGATAACAGGTATATTGCTACCAATGGGGAATAACCTCCCCATTATTAACAATCCCTTCCTCCCTAATATAGGCGACAGTTATCACTTGTTTGACATTCTAAGTTGCATAAAAAAAATGGTCATCTTATAATATTAGCAAGGATTTGGATTTGATATTATTCTAAACAGGATACACTGCAATAAAATTTTGTAAGAGAACTAATAGTTTGACTGGCATATGACCTCATTGTTTATCAGCAATATACCAGAAGGAGACTTTGTACAAAAGTCATCTACGCCATGCAGACGATTTTTTACCTCTGTACCACTTATTTTACTGCTTAGCAATCATTTGCATGGCTGTTTCATATTGAAGAGTGAAATATGACAGTAAAAGAAGTACTCAAGAAGGTGTAGAAGGGATTGTTAGTAATGCAGATTACCACACCCATTGCTAGCAATATACTCTCAGGTCAAATTCTCTATGGTCCCCCCCTGGAAACTATCTTGCTTTATTCCAGGTGTATTCGTCAGAATGAGCTAACAGACCTACCTTTTCATTCTCATTTATCATCCCTCAGTGGTGCCTCGCCACCATACACCATCACCGCAGACAGGGCTACCATTCCATTAAAAAGTGCTCAGGAATAGCAAACCATGAAAGGTATCATGGGTTGAACACAGTGATGTTTATAGTATATTTTTTTTGATAGGTGAAAATGGAAGGGTAACTGGTGAAAAATATACTGGTGAAGCACCAGTGAAGGGTGATAAATGACAATGAAAATAGGCCAGTTAGCCTATCAGGATGAATTCATATCACAAGGTCGACCTGGCTAAGTATATTGCTTGTTTTCAATACTAACAATCCCTTTCCCCTGACGTTCATAGTATTGTTCATGCCTATATATAATGGTTACCACTTTACATCAGGTGGGTCGTCAACTTGCTTGTCATTCTAAATTGCATAAAAAGAACTAGTAGATTTTCAGCCTCTATATATCAACTGCATAGAGGTGTTTTCTTAATGGATTAAAATGTAATCATAACAATCCTTTGCTATCCATATACACTGGTGAGGCACCAGTGAAAGATGATAGATGAGGATGAAAGCAGGTCATAGGCTATATTGGCTCATAGTGATGAATTCATAAAAAAATAATCTTCCAAGGTGAACTGCATGGAGGTCGATGTGATAGGGTATATTGTTAGCAATGTGGCTGTTAGATCCCCAATAGTAACAATCGCTTTCCCCCCTTTTTATTATTATAAGAAGGTTATTGGTTATAAGATTAAATAAAGTAACTAACTTTATTGTTATTGAGGTGTAGCAGCATGGTCCTCAGCGGTACTTGCATGGGGTCTCCGCCCGCATCGTGCTCCTCCGGCGTCAACAGTTCGCCTCCTCCGTCGGCACCGCAAATTGAACACAGCTCCATTTCAGTTTCAATCTTCATAATCGTTGTCGTCATCACTACTATTTACAGAAATTAATATCTATACAATAAAATGGATTTCATCTAATTAAAACACTATTGAAATTCTCAGAAAGTTATTGAATTTAAAAAACAAGAAAGTTTTTGATAATAGAAAAAGATAAAAAAAAAAATAAACAAATAACCTGAAGTACTGAACTGATCAACGCCGGTATAGATGAGCGTCAATTTTAAAGAAAAGTTATCTGTAAATATCTATGCAACCAGTCAAATTGAAAATTTTACATTACAAGATCTTTTTCTATTCTATTCCTGTAGATATTAATATTTTGGACAGAGGTATATTACAAATAGTTAAAGAATATTATATGTACATACATCCATGAAAATTATTTTATTTTACTATGTTGGTAATTGCATAGATTCCTATTTTAGTTCCGTAAAGATAGAGATAGAGTCAACTCTTAATAACTGAGTCATTCATAATTACCACAGACTACAAAGATACAATAATGAAACAGAAAAGCATAAATAGGAAATATGAATAAAATATTTTCCCTTTTACTTACTCAACTGTAAAATAAATGCTCCATCGAAATGTGATGCACGCCAGTTCCTCACATTGATATGCTGTATATGCTGCATGCTTAAATTATATTAAACTTAAATCATTCTAAAAAAGTATTATTAAACAATAAATTATTATATATAAGTATAAGCCATTACATTAAAAACCATTTAATCATCATATTATAATGTAGTACAGGACGTAAATGATATTATTTAATTTTTAAAATAAACAAAGATTTGCTTTCTTCGCTGTAATAATAAGTATACCTACACTGTAATAATACCTATACAGTTTTGTTATTATAAGGAATATTTCAATAAAAAAAATTCATTTAATTTATGTCAATCAATTAGCACCACTTCTATTTTTTATCCAAGACCTCATACTGTAAGGTGATAGATAAGACCTGTTATCGATATAATTAATCCTAAGGTATAATTAATATTTTTTTTTATGGGTGAAAATGGTATAGTAATCCCGCCTGCGCTAACGAGATTCGCTGACGGTACACCAGTGAAGGATGATAAATGAGAATGAAAACAGGCCAGTTAGCCCATCATGATGAATTCATCAGGAATTAACCATGATAGTTTCCAGGGAGAACCGCGAGGAGGTCGACATGGTTGGATATATTGGTAGCAATGGGATTCTCAGTCTCCATTACTAATAATCCCTTTCCCCCTATAATTAGTAGTTATGTAGGTATAATTAGTCCATTACTAAAAATTCCACCAAGTCTAATCATCATCATTATATTAGCTGTTAACACCAGTGAATAACTGTTCATCGTGAGTCTATTCACATCTTTGGTGAAGAGACGGGGATATCAGTTCAAGTTACTTCGCTCTCTTCTAGTGATATTCAGCATGTGCAGGTTACCGTGGTGATCATTGCGGTATGTATGTTTTCGAAACTGATCAAAATCGTGAAATACAAAGAGAGGTAGTAAATAAAATGAATTTAATTCTTTTGATAACGAATTATTTTAACATATTAAATAAAACAACTACAAAATATAAAATTGATTTTTTTTTATTAAATGTAAAAATACTTTTAATTAATTGCCTTTTCAAAGATAATTTCATCGCTACATTATGTATCCAAAGCCATAAAATTTTATTAATGACAAAAGTCAAACTGTCAGATGCTGTCATTGTTTCCTGTCCCCGCCATAATTATTGTTTTGTTATTGTGGTATAACACGAAAATTCATCTATTCTTATCTAGTGAATCTTTAATATATACTTATTTACAGAAGGAAACTTTAGTTAGCCATCAATAAACATGTCTATCGGTGTGCCTATTAAAGTATTACACGAAGCAGAAGGACATGTAGTGACCTGTGAAACAAACACCGGCGAAGTATACCGCGGGAAGCTTATAGAAGCCGAAGATAATATGAACTGCCAAATGACTCTGGTAACTGTAACGTATCGAGATGGCCGCGTCGCTCAGCTGGAAAATGTGTACATTAGAGGATCAAAGATTAGGTTCCTCATATTACCCGATATGTTAAAGAATGCGCCTATGTTCAAACGACAAGGCAACAAGCCGACCGCAGGACGGGGGAAAAGCGCTATATTGCGAGCACAAGGTGAGTACATGTCTAATATTCCATGTTTTGTCAACAGTGTTTATATTTTACTCAGTAAACAAGAATGTTCCCGTTTCGACAATTCACATTTGCATCACAAAAATTTAATCATGAAAGTTACTTGTTGTTATATGTAATGTATTTATTTTAAAGATACTGAACAAGCAGTTCCTATCAAAATTTTACTGTGTTTGCTATTTAAACTATACTATTTATTGCTCTTTGGATTGAATAGTTAGGATCTTTCTTTTATATTTGGCATGTATTTATCAAAATGACAGTGTATAAAATAAATATTCAAAATAAATTTCTTTAACCATAACTATTAACCAATTTGTTTATAAATATTTAATAGTTCTATCAATAACGACACAGGAAGATTGTTTATCAATTTGCAAACTTTTATAAATGTTGTCATGCAGTCTGCAGCTCAGTGGAGGTTTCTTAAATTTTGTTTTTTTTGTGAAAGCCTTCATCAATAATCCTGTCATGCTTCCTTGATGATTTGACAGACATTGTTTTTATGCATTTCTATACTTTTTTTCTTTTTGAAAACCTCATTTAAACTAGTACAGCCATTTTAAAATATAGCTTCATTGGTCATAGGTCTGGTAATAGGTCTAGTTAATGATAGAACTTATGCATTTATTAAATTCCATTTATTTCTCTTCAATAGTTTTTGCATAAAAAAGTAACAAATATTGATCTATAAACCATTACACAAATTTGACATTTAATAATACTAGAATAAAGAGTATTGATAGATAAAATAAAAATAAATAAGCAGAACTAAGTTCTGTATTCATATCTGGTCCCTTGTGGGATGTGCACACTAAACATATCTTATACCTCTTGTTTCATACCCTTTTAATCTCAAATAGTTCAAATTAGATAGTAACTGTTTAATTTGTTTATATTTACTGATAAATAAGAAAGTAGTAATTTATATTGTTTATTATTAAATGATAGAATTGGAAATGGTAGAGGGGTAGTCCTGTCTTAATAACTACATGTTCTAATATAAGTATTTTTATTAATTTTAGAAATTGCCAATTGTAAAATATGATATAATTTGCTTACAGCGGCAGGGCGGGGCCGGCCGGGCGGCCGCGGCGGGGGGCACCGAGGGGGCTGGCAAGGCGGCTCGGGGCCCTCGCGACGCTAGCCTACTTAGTACTGCATTATGTGTTGGAGTATTTGGACATACAGCCATCTACTCAAATACGTATTTTCTTAATTTAAGTACAGTCGGTGACAAATATATGTTGTTCTGGAGCCTTCACATTATTATAATATATACTTACATATTTTCATAGATTACATTTGTCAAGTATGTAAGGCTTTGAAAGATATCTTTGTAATTGACTGTGGGTATTGTAAATAAGTGCTGTGCTAGGATGTCTGAGCCTTCTACAAAGAAACGTGCTTTGAGATAATTATCGATGTATTAACCGATCATTTCAGACCACAATTATAAGCATATTAAACTCTCTCATTACTGGAATATTACAAGTTATTACTAAAGCAACTTGTACTAAGCTTAATAATTAAATAAAATATATCTTACCTGTAATGTTTGATTGACAAATATGCAATGTAGTAATGTACCTGATACAGGTACAGTTGTAATTATTTATTGAGGCTGAAATGATAATCTTTGTTTTTATGATGAAATAATATGTAAACATATTTGTAAGCTTAAATGCTTGGTTATTTTATTTGTCCTACATTCTGAATAGATGCTTTGCCAACTCGAAGTCAGATCTAACTGATACATAGCGTAAAAGGGAAATCATTTCATCCATTCAGCCATGAGTTTTGATCTGCTCTATTGTTGCTAAATGGCAGTTTGTAATATTGAAATATGCCTATTATATTTTTTCTTAATGTTAAAAAAATATAATAAGGAATTCCATTCTTCACTAAATCATATTGTCCATACAATATTTGTTTTTTCTTTTTAGTAGAAACACTAACCATATTGACTCACATATATTTTTGTCAAGGATTTTTGTGGTTTTTTTTACATAAGTTAGTCTGTTTATAATTAATTAATTATATATATTTTTTTTATAGTAAGAGAATTTTTAGTTATATAAATTCTCTCACACAACAGGATACATTCTTTGTCCTCTGTTTGCTATAGGATTATAATGGCTTCCCTTTTATACTCTGTCAATCATTTTGTTGTCGTTCGGACACCCTATAACCCTTTCAGACCTGAACGATACGGGCGTGAGTTGTAACTTTAAAAAATTCTAAAACCGCGCGCAATTAATTTTTACGCACGAAGCTGAAATAACATGATAGTGAGATTCTAAACCAGCCAATAAGAAATCGTTTTAGCGGTTAGGTGGTGCAGTAGTCTCGTGCGTGCCGGCAAGATGGCTTGGCACCAAAACATGAAAATATATTTAATGTGAAAGAAAAAAAATCTTGGGTCTGAAAGGGATAAGGCTCACCATTGACGCCAGTACAGTTTAGTATAGCTCGTCAGCACACGTGTGTATTCCTAAGAGATAATTGTGATAGATGTGAAAGATATGTGTGTACGAATTAAACGGATTGACTATAATTACCGTGTGTATTAATTACCTGAGCTCACCTTTCTTTTTTTTATAATACGGACCAAACGAGCATGCGGCTCACCTGATGGTAAGTGACTACCGCCGCTCATGATTACCCGCAACATCAGAGGCATTGCAGGTGTGCTGCCGGCCTTTGAGGAATAAGCTCTTGAAGGTTACGATGTCGTGTCGGTTCGGAAATACTGCTGCTGGAAGTTTTTTTTAATGTGTGATACTGGAATGGTAACTCCGTCTATGCTATTAGTAGACGCTGGCGGGGCGCCAGTGAGGGATGATAGGTGACGATGAAAGCAGCTACGTTAGCCTTTCGTGACGAATTCAATAAGATTTAACCACGATGGTTTAAAGGGGGAACCGCGTGGAGAACCACCTGATATGGTGTATTACTAGCAATGGGTTAGACTCCATTACTAACAATACTTTTCCCCCCGCTGCTGGAAGTCGATTCCAAAGAGTTTGGAAAAAATATACTAAAAGATTTATAAAGAAAACACCACTTGATATATTTACAAATATTTATTCACCTTTATACAAATCTACCTAGTAAGTCTCTCACCATATAGGCATACTCCATAGCCATCCCATGCTATCACATTTGTAAAACTTATAAATTCTAAATATATAAATGTATTGATAAATAAATCCACCGATACCAACAATGAACATTTCCATAGGCGACGGTTACCATTTTCCATCAGGTGGGCCGTCAGTTTGTTCACCATTCTAAGTCGCATAAAATAAACACTTTTTTCATTCGATGAAAATATCATTTACAGTACTATATGTAGTAAATAGTATTATAAATGGTAGATACAACTTTATAAATGTTAAAACAAAGGTCTACCCTGAAAATTAGGTATTTTTCTTCTAGTAAGTAGCTCGCCAATCAACTGAAGGGTGAATTGTGAAAATATACAGTTAGTAAAAGTGACATTGTTGACAGAATCAATTAAAGTAAAAGAGTCAATTAAAGCAACTGGCGGAGATTTTTTCGTGATCTTAGCGGAACTAGACCAGCTCGACGTGCAGTTGGATTATAGACTGATTTTGTCCATCTACCCCCCAATGTGATCCCAGATTTGATAGGGACCCTCCTTCCCTGATGGAATGAATAGAAAAGAAGGATGTTGCGTCCGGAAATGTTTAATGCATATACAAATATTTACCACAATTGTTTTCTGCATAAATAATGCATAAAATATACGTGTCCAATGAACATTCCACAGGAGATAGTTTTTTTTCCCCATAAATAACTCTTGGTTTAAAATCACTATTCGGAGAAATACATTTTACAAGCGATATCCCTTAAATTGTCTAACACATCGATATTACGAACAAGTATATAGAAAATGGGGTAAAACGTCGGTGTATCAGTTCGTACGTTGATGCATCACGAATAGGTAGGTATCTATTTACATAATATATAAAAAATAATATCTACATTAATGTATTTAAAGCCTACTCATCAAATGTACTCAGACCAAAGTCTGTAGACGTTTAGTGGTAACTAAACAATACAAAACACTATGATAGATAAATCTTTCTGAACCTGTCTAAAGTTCTCAAATATATAACAGTTTTCTAAATTAACGATACCTGGTAGATACGTATGACCTGCCTATTTACAAAGATTTACCAGGGTAAGGCCTGTAATTAAGATTGGTAACCCCAAAAATATAATGAACGTACTAATGCAGCAGTTCCTAAAATAGGAATTTGCAGGTAAATACTTTGTATTCTCAAACATTCTCCCGTAAACCACCACAAAATGTCCCTTTTTCAATCTATTAATTAAAATAGTTAATTCTAGTGTTCCGTGGCTTCAGCTTTAGGGATCGCTGCCGCTAGCGTGTCCTAATTACAGTGTATATTCCTAACACCGATCACCGGCCGTCCGTATGATCTATAGTTCCGTAGTGCCAGATGTAGGCGAGTTATAGGCCGCTACTGGGCGGCGTCCTTCTTGTGGGCGGCGGGTGCAGGCGGCGGCGGCTGGCTGAGCGCGCGGTGCAGGCGCTGCGTGGGCAGCTCCACCAGCAGCGCCAGCAGCAGCGCCGCCAGGTACGACACGAACGCCACGCCGAACCACTCCAGGATCTGTAAGTGGCAGATTACTTGACCATTGTCGTAGTATGGGTATTTTCCTGAGGATGATAAGGTATAGTAGATAGTTGTATTTTTTATACTACTGAGGTGGCAAACAAGTATACGGCTCACCTGATGGTAAACGGTTACTATGAATACCTGCAATACCAGGGGCATTATGCGCACATTGCCGACCCTGTAGAAACCTCTTTACCCTCTTTTTGAAGAACCCCATACTGTAGTGGAAAAACCTTGTCAGGGAGCTCATTCCACAACCTGAGTGTTCGTGGGAGAAAACATCTCTGAAACCGCGTCGTACGCGATTATTTAGGCTCTAGGGCGAGGATGAACTCCCTGTCGATGGCGAGCCGTACAGTGGTAGAAAAAGGCCGTGGGCATCATATTGAACAATTCCTCTGAGCACAATCCGTTGTACAATCGGTAGAACACACAGAGTAAGGCAAAAATATCTCCTAAGACTTAAGGGTTCGATACCGCTTATAAGCCTGGGATCATCGACAATTCTCATAGTTCGTCTTTGCACCGAGTCCAAGGGTTTAAGCTGGTATCTACTACACCAGTAGGTATACATACATTCATCATCATTTCAGCCGTTAACTGCCCACTGCTGTACATACGCCATCCCTATAGACAATCGTAAAGAACGGTCCAAAGCAAAGGACTGGGGGCCATTCCTTTATGGTATTTGTCTTTGGGGGTTTTGACAGTCGTTGCCACGCTAGGCAGACGGGTTGGCAATCACAATTAGGCTTTAGTGATGTTTTGAGAGATACGCTGTTGTCCATTTCTCAAATATTAAGTTCCCTTAGTCGCCTCTTACGACCTCCATGGGAAACGAAAGGGAGCTCATTCTATACCGGGACCACATGGCAGATATACATTATAATTAGGTGGAATTCTTCTTTCTTTCTTCTAAGGCAAGTCTCCCTCTTGTATAACGACATGGAATCTAAGGAATTGTTTGAAAAGATGACTACAGCTACTTCATCGAACCGCTCGCTATCGACAAGAAATTTATCTTCACACTCTAAAACCTCATATAATGCGATTTCAAAAGAGTTTTCTTTCCTGAACGTTCAAAATAAACTTTCTTTTCAGATTTTCTCTAGAGACTAGCTAGAGTATGGGATTCTTCAAAAAGGTGTATTAAAGTTCTGCAGGTGTCCATAGGCTACAGTAACCGTTCATCAGGCGGGGTGTATGCTTGTTTGTCATCTTCGTGTTGTAAAAAGAAAAATGTAATAAAAATATGGTGTGCAACGGACCGCGGTGAGCCTGTCGAGCTGCGTGGGCGCGAGGCGCGCGGCGACCAGCGACTTGTTGATGATCATGTGCAGCATCAGCACGCCGAACGACAGCTGCGCGCACGTCGCCCAGCCGCGCCACGCCAGCACCGACCGTACCGGCGCTGCAACCCACGCGCACCGCTAGCACACTCCGTATTATAACAATAGGTGTATGTCAACATCTACATGGAGTTTCACTGCTGCCAGTCTGAGATCGACCTCCACGCGAAATCACTTGAATAATTTTTGGTAAATTCGTCGTGATCAGCCAATTGGCCGACTTCGATGGTGTACATATTAATAACAGTCGAGATTACCGTTTCATTTTAATGCATTGAATATTTCAAATAAAATGGTGAAAATCTAAATTCAAGACAAATTCAACCATTAGTAATGGAGAAGAAAATACAAGTTATCGATCAGGTAGGTCGTTGGAGCGTTGTCATGAAGCAACTCACAGCGGACGCCGTTGATGGCGCCGAGCATGGCGAGCACGACCAGCAGCACGAAGACGGGCCGCTCGACGGCGGCCAGCGCGGCGGCGGCGGCGCGCGGCGGCGGCCGGCCGCGCAGCAGCCGCGGCGACGCGCCCACCCACAGCGCCGCCAGCGGCGTCGCCGCCACCGACGCCCACCGGAACACCTGCGCCACAACCGGCTTCCATTCTGAACACGTACGCAGCCTACAACTTCATCTAGACGAGTATTTATGTTTATTTTGCATACAAACAGCTCTAACGCCTAGTACATTACCCGAAGGGGGAGGGGAGGCATTGCTAGCAATTTACTCAGTCTGGTCGACCTCCACGTGGTCACTCCTAGAAACCATCGTATTGAATTCCAAGTGTATTCATCGCGATGGGCTAACTGACCTGTCTTTTCATTCTCACCTATCATCCCTCACTGGTGCCCCACCAGTGTATACCGTATAGCTTACAGTGTATAGCGCAGGCGGAGTTACTATTCAATTATCATCCTATAGAAAAATGTATATTACCCGTTTGCGCATTTGTATTCCGTAGTCCATATTTTGATGGAACATCACGTGGAAAAAGTTCCGAGAGTTCGTGTCTGCGAAGCCGCTAAAATTATCAACGTGAGGATTCCGTAATTACTCGGAGTGTATACTGGTAAGTAGATGACTGCAAGCGTACCTTGTAGTCGTTGAGCGGCACGCCGCGCTGCAGCAGCGCGTGGTGCAGGTGCGCGAGCAGCAGGCCGGCCAGCGCGCCCGGCAGGTTGCCCAGCGGCGACTGGTACAGCACGTTGAACGACGCCTCGCCCCGGTACACCACGCGCACCGACCTACGCACCACGGACGCTGCTCAATCAACTTGTAACTATAGCTCGCGATTGCATCCGGCTCGAAGTACAATGTCTACAAATGGTCCTTCAATTAATTTTATCGATTATTCGATTAATTAATCGGATTTAAACTTTAGTAGAGTGATCAGTTTTAAAGATTACAAACTCGTATTATTTTCCAGTTACTTTACTGACATGATGTAGAATAAAAACTATTGTCTTAATATAGGTTATGGTACTTCTGTCCCATTCGTGTTTCGACTGTAAAGCAGCCGTGTTTGACAGTACAATGGATTATTATTGCACATCTGTATATAAAATAATTATTTATATCCATTCAGACTGATAGAATAACAAATATATATTTGAACTATCGTAAGACATGCTATCGAATCGAAGAATCGTATCGAATCGTATTGTAATTATTTAATTTTGGTTTTAAAATAAAACGAATTGTAAACGCAAGTGAAAATTAAAACATTTTTTTTTTTACGCTTTGAAATAGAAAACAGGGTCGCGGTCCACCTGTAATTAATGACACTACCAAATCGCGCCCCTTAAACCAAACAAAGTCTGTAACTATATTAGATTTATACCAGTAATGTGGCTGGAACGAAGGTACCTACTCCCTCTGACAATTTCTGTCTTTAGAAAGTAGACTGTCAACATACTCAGGCCTGTGGAGGATGAAGGTGGGCACAAGCCGCCAGAGGTAGGCGAGCGTGAAGTTGGTGGCGACCGAGAGCAGCATGAGCGCGCCGAGCACGTACACGGCGCCGAGCCGCAGCCGCCACAGCGCCAGCGTCAGCACCAGGGACAGCGCGTACAGCTGCATGTCCGCCGCCAGGTACCTGCCACAGAAATTTCCGAATTAGAACACAATAAAAGGGCATTATGCCAGGAGTTCTCTTGACTGTAATAGCTTTTTTAATGGATGATAATGGAATGGTAACCCTACCCGCGCTATCGGTATATACCGGCGGGGCATCAGTGAAGGATGATAGGTGAGGATGAAACAGATCAGTTAGCCCATCGTGACGAATTCAGCAAGAATCGTTCACGATGGTTTCCCGGGGGAACCACTTGGAAGTCGACCTAGTAATTTATCTTACCAGGTTCACGTCTTCGTGGTTCCTCCTAAAAAGCATCGTGGCTAATTCTTGGGAGTTAGCTACAAACCAACTGAATTGTCTTCATTCTCGCTAGTACTTACTAGCGTGTACCGAAGGGGGAGAAGGGATTGTTAGTAATTGGGTTTCACAACTCCATTGCTAGCAATATATCTTATTAGATCGACCTCCACGCAGTTTCTCCTGGAAACCATCGTGATTGATATATTATAGAATTCGTTACAATGGGTTAACCTATCATTCCTCATTGATACCCCGTCAGCGTTTATCGTTAGCGAAGGCGGGGTTGCCATACCATTGCCAACCATAAAAAAAAAAACAATTTTTGGGATGTACAGAGATATTTGATGTAGTCTTTTGTTATGTGATCTTCTCCAATTCTAAATAAATTTTAATAATTTGCAGTCAATAGGTTTTACTCCTTTTTTTTATCTCCGTAGTACATAATTTTGTCACATTTTTAGTCGCTTTTGGTTTAAAATCAATCGCTTTTCATTATTAGAATGAACATCTCACCAGGTCTGTATGAGGCACTTCTCGTCCGGGTATATAACGTTGTTCAGGTAGAGCAGTTGAGTCCACCACTTGTGTCTGCAGATGGCGCTCTCGGTGCCCACCAGAGGCTCCCACATGGGCCCGTCGCCCGTGCGCTGCCACCAGCTCGCCGCGAACCACACCACGAAGAAGTAGCTCGGACTCATTCTGAAAAATAAAGCGTCATATATAAATATAGAGTTTTATAACTTTTTTACAGGTAGAGTTTTGTTATCGTCAACTCCTGGTGTGAAGGTAACATTCTCTGGCGACAAAAGTCTCTGGGCTGACTATATACGAAGACTTTTAATGTAGCTGCCTGCCCTTTGTAGTATTTAGCAATTTTTAAATAGCATTTTCCAAATGGTACACATGAATTAAATGCAGAGGTTTGGCCTAAACTTGGATCTTGGGGCTGCCAGGCAGCAACCAAGCCTTGTTAGCTATTAGCGGTCTCTGTCAATCGTGATGTACGATATAAACGTAATATTTGGCATGAGAATTACACAGGCATGTTTTTAAAATGTTTACCATCTTGCTAGTGTACAGGTATCTAATGTAATCTTTGGCATAAGGGGAAATATTGGTTTTTGTAAGTGGTAATGTAATGGATAGCACAGAATCTTTTGTAATGCATGCGGGCTTTTGAAATCGATACAAGTGTAAACAGTTGTGCCGAATATCCGAGAACCTGATGATCCTGTTGAACATGGTACGCACGAAGGTGGCGATCTTGGGCACGTGCTGTTCTCGGCGCCGTTGCTCCAGCAACTTATGCGCGAGCAGGAATGAGGACATTACGAAGAACACCTGTACCACCAGCGTGCCGTTGGTCATCAACACCACGTCATCTGCGAGTCTGTCCTGTAGCCGAAACAATTCGTTTCTTTAAGATTTTCTTATGCTACAACAACAAACGACCATCTGTCTTTCTAACCGTTACCTATAAACATATGTAAACAGCACCGCAGTGAATTCATGGTATTATTTCCAAGGACGAAGCTGGTATAACTTTGTACCCTGAAATTTCAGTGCAGTTACCTTACCGCTACAGTTGAGACAGACATCCAAGTTTGGTAGCAGAGATAGGAGGATAAATCCATGTAGAATCATTGTCTACAGTAGAGCACTCATGCAAAGAAGGGAAGGGGAGATGGCAATGACTAATAGCAGCCTCATGGCCAACGATGTACTTCGTCAAGTCGACCACCACGCAGTTCTCTCTGAATCCAGGGTTTAGTTTTAATAAATGAAAATGCAATGGCAACTCCGCCTGCACTATCGGTACACGCTGGCGAAGCACTAGTGAGGAAAATAGGTGAAGATGAAGCAGGTCAATTTTTAGGGGGAACCGCGTGGTGGTCGACCTATTAGGGTATGATGCCAGTAATAGATCGGTTAGATTTCATTACTAACAAACCCTCCGTTTCTAGAGGGTTTGATGGTGGTTTATTATGGCTAATTTCTAGTGAATTTGTTACTAACTTTATTTTCACCTTCTCTGATATCAGCGTATACCAATAGCGCAGACGAAGTTGCCATTTTAATTTTATCCATAAAAAAAATCACAAAATAGTGATATTGCGTGTGTAGACGTAGGAGTAGCGGTGTACCCGTTCGAAGCGCCTGGTGTCGACGAGGTAGGAGAGCGAGTTGAGCCAGCAGACGTGCTCGATGATGAAGCACATCATGCCGAGCACGCGCAGCCCGTCCATGGCGGCCAGCGCCGAGCCGCGCCGCGCCGCCGCCGCCGCGCCCAGCGCGCGCCAGCACGCCGCCGCCGACCACGCCACCGCCCACGGCGCGCCTGCACACACACCCACCATACTAGCAACCGATTAGTGCCAGCAGCCCGCCGCTTTCACCACTTTAATTCATCATCATCAGACAGATCTGATGATAATCTTTAACTGTCCACTGCTGAACATAAGGCTCCCTTTGGGGGGTTTTGCCAGTAGTTGCCACGCTCGGCAGGCGGCTTGGCAATCGCAGTCAGGCTTTACAGATGTTTTAAGAGGGACGCTGCTGCTAATTCCTCGTTCTCCCTTAGTCGGCTCTTAAAACAATTACGGGATAGGAAGGGGTGGCCTATTCTATGCCGGGACCACACGGCGACTTCAATTAATGTAGGTTAATTTAGGATATGCTCTATGTTTCAAATTACATTTAAATCCGATATGATAAATCAACGAACATTCAATTTATTTAATATACACCTTTACAGATTATCAATAATATTAAACAAAGCGTTTCAAGTTTCCAACACTCGGAATATGAATCTCGAAAATTGGAGAGATCCATAAAATGAGTACCGTCCGGGAATGGTACTCACAGATCGGTCCACCCGATAGTAAGCGGTTACCGTACCCTGCCTGCAATACCAGAGACATTACGCCATCGTTACCAACCCTGAAGAAATCTCTACCTTTTTTTAAAGAATCCCATGCTGTAGTCTATTGAGAAAAAATAAATCCACTTACATATTTTTAATATTATATAGTAAGGATTATATAGAACTTTTTTTTGTACAACTTAGAATGGCAAACAAGCTGACGGCCCACCTGATGGAAAGCGGTAACCGTCGTCTATAGACATGAGCAGTACCATGGACATAACAGAGTATACTGTTTCGCCCATGATACCCCCATGCGTTGCCATTCCTGAGGACTCAGGTGTTATTCCTCTGTACCCAGTAAATACACGCCATATCCCACCCTTCAAACCTATATATCTAAACGTTTTCTGATTTTTTTTGCGTTGTTAAACTAATTAATAATCTATAACTGCCACATAATAAGTATATAGTACTTTTTATGAATACAAATGCTATATAATCGCTGTCTATAATAAAGTGATAGTATAATAACAGTGTTATTAAAATTGCATTATGAAATGCTCAAAGAATAAGCCTGTCATTATGGCACAGCGACATAAACTTGACCGAGCGCATGTATAAGCCCTTCCACCATCGTCTCGGCTCGACCTCACCGCGAACACTGACTGCGAGCAAGCAGCTCATGGTGCACGTATTTCATACCGCGTTATGTTGCGTTACGCAATACACAATGGTAGAATTACATTATCTTATTTGGACTGCATTAGTTGATAGTTATCTTAAAACTATGTCTTGACAGTGTATAAAAAAATATCAAGTCAAATTAGTTGTTAAATTTAAATTTTCCAGAGGGAGACTTTGTACAAAAGTCGTTTGCTTGGCCACCTCTGTCCCATTCGTGTTTTTACCGCGAACCAGTTGTGTTTGCATGGCTGTGTTTCGGTTTGAACGGTGGGATATGGCAGTGAATTTACAGGGTACAGAGGAATAACACCTGACTCCTCAGAAATGGCAACGCATGGGGGGTATCATGAGTGAAATAGTACACTCTGTTGTGTTCATAGTACTGCTCATGTCTATAGGCGACGGTTACCACTTTCCATCAGGTGGGCCGTCAGCTTGTTTGCTATCCTAAGTTATATAAAAAAATATTCACAAATTTTGTTTGCTCTAACTGTTTGGCCACTTAGCTCCATCTGATAATTTCATAAAAGCATACTTCCGAGTCGATATTAACGAGTGAGTCAACACAGTATGTTGACCGACTTCGCTCCACCGAAACATTAGGTGTCCAGTAATAGTTGATAGTTGAGTGACAGAGAGAAATCACTAAGCTCGATTAGATTCTCAAGTGGGAGGGGGTGGCCGGCACTGCCAGGGTTGCTAACAATTACTCGAGTTTATTCTTAAAATATAAAATAAGTTTATAAAAACATGTAAATAGGAATAAATTGCGCATATTCAATTAAAGAAACTGTAAAACGGTAATAATTATTTGTTAAATATTCTAAATGCTTAGGCTTAAAGTGTATAGAATGGCAAAAATATGATTGCGAATCTATGATCCGTCCCAAACATTTGTTATTGTTTGAAGCCTAGGCAGTATTTGGGATGGAAAAAGAATTTCGTTACCTTTTATCCCAGTTTCCTGAATATTATAAGAAAACGTATATGTACAATAAGAAAATATACACAACAAAATGGCCAAAAAGATAATAGGATAATACCCACTTGATTTTAATGCAATTTATTCCATTTTTATTAATTTTAACATTCAATATGCATATTTTATTGTAAAAATGTAGCAACCCTAAATAGGGCCTACGCACGAGATGTAATTGTTGGTACCTTCACCGACCTCGGATGGTAACAGCGATCGTTTATCTAAACACATTTTGCAACGCACCACGAATCGGCCCAGTCGCCATAAATTGTCTATTAATCTGGGCAGATATATCTATTATTATTAAAAAAAACATATAAATATATATGTGGTGATATATATATATATATATATATATATATATATATATATATATATATATATATATATATATATATATTTTCCGAGGGTGTTGTAAGAAGCGACTAAGAGAACTTACAGGTCGAGAGATAGCAGCGTCTCTCTTAAAACGTACCATCAAAACCGTCAAGGAAAAAGCATATTTCTTTTTAAAAGGCCGTCAGCACACCTGCAATGCCTCTGGTGCTATGGGTGACCATGGGCGACGGTAGTCACTTACCATCAAGTGAATCGCTTTTTCCTAGGAACGCGTAGAGGCTTCAAGTTAAAATTAATATCATACGAGTATACTCAGGTCTGCAATCTCTTAAAGTAATGAGAAAATCAAGCTTCTAAATCGACGCAATCAAAAGATACAGCCGTTTATGTTTCATTTATATCGCATAATTATTTTGACATTGGCAAAGGAAATCAAAACCAATAGGGTACTTCCCGTTGACATAGAATCATGAAATTTGGCAAGAAGCAATGTTATGTAGCACAAGTAAAAAGGAAACAGTCCGAAAACTGTAAATTTGTAGTGTCACAAAAAAATACTTTATGATTTTGTACGGAACCCTCGTTGCGCGAGTTCGACTCGCACTTGGCAGGCTTTTTCACCAGTGGAACGTCAGTGATTTCGATGTCACCAGTACAACGGCCATATTGCAATAAATCGCCCACAACATACATACCTACTTATACATATATAAGTTATTGGCGAATTAAAATATTTTATAAATATTACGCACGTGTTTATTTTAGAGTTCGAGTTTTGTTACCAAATTGTGTTCGGTTATGTCAGCGCGCCGTGATCATGAGCTTACGTAAGGATCAATCACCTTATTTCGAATTACAAATCTGCTTTTTTTATATCGATGTCAAGGTTTCCGACACAGTAGGTACACGTAGGTGGGGAAATGTGGCAAATTTTTATACCTGTTGCTTCTATTTACATCATCATCATCATTATTCCAGCCATTATCCGTCCACTGCTGGACATAGGCCTCCCCCATACACTGCCATAAAGAATGGTCCCGAGCCACCTGCATCCACTGACTCCCTGCAATGCATTTCAGGTGATCACTCCATCTAATGGGGGGGGGGGGGGGTCGTCCTACACTGCGTTTGCCCGTAAGCGATCGCCGCTTAAGAACTTTATTCCGCATCAGTTGTCGGTTTTTCGAGCTATGTGACCAGCCCATTGCCACTTCAGCTTGCTTACCCTTCGGGCTATGTCGGTTAGGTAGGTTCTTTTGTGGATATCCTCGTTTCGGATTCTATCATGTAGAGAGACTATACATATATTTATATAAAATGAAATTCATTTGCTAGAAACATTGTTGATAAGGTGTTACGTGTTGTAGCGATGTTTATTGTTCCGCGACGCGATATATATATATATATATATATATATATATATATATATATATATATATATATATATATATATATATATATATATATATATAGTTGAAATTTAGAACTCGGAATCACATGTACTCTTATGTAAATTTGTATTTTGCCAATAATCAGTTTTATCAATTGTCGCAAAATTAATATGTGACAGGGGAGTGAATGTTATCTTAATGCAAAAAGAATTGTGAAAATGGCGATGTTCAGAATTTGGCGATGTGATCGCGTTATATAACAGAAAAAAAAAATACAAATTGGGAGCATTCTTGATTTGAAAGTCGCATACAAAGAAATATAATATGAAAACCAGTTCGTAATAGGCGAATCATGTCACGTAACTTGATTTATTTTTAACCGATTGATTTTTTGTCAACTCGTAAACATTGGTGTTTCCATATATTTAATATCATTATTAATATTATAAATATGAATGTGAATTTGCTTATTACTAAGTAGTATTTATTGTCGCGAAAAACACAAGCTACCTTCTGTTGCCGTCAATAGATAACTCAAAATCCCGCTAATGCGAACGAAGTCGCGGTAAAAACTGAGGGCTTACCATGAAATGTTTTCCGAAATTTCGGGTTTAGAACAAAGCACAAATTAAATATTAAAATTAAGTACACACAAATTATATACATACATACATACATATCTGTCACGCCTGTCTCCCATTAGGGTAGGCAGACACAATGGAACGCCATATGCTTCGATTCAAACACTTTCGCTTCTTCCACATTCATATATATATATATATATATATATATATATATATATATATATATATATATATAGAATGGGTTATATATATATATATATAACCCATTCAAGTTTTATTTGAAAAAAAAAGCAACAGCTGAGTTTTACGCCTATTTTCTCCAGTTGTAAATGCATTCCGAACTGACCGGCAGATTGAGTTTACTTGAATAAAAAATATATTTATATATTTGCAACTGCTTTACGGCAGTAACACAGATGGGACAAAGGTACCCATCATGACGACTTGCGTACAATCTTTCTCTAGTAGGTATATCTCTCTTCGGTTCACAACTGATCGCCAATGTTTTTAGGAGACAATGTATTTATACGTAATGTAGTGACCGCCTTTACCTTTCTTTGTGTCGTCGGAGAGCGTGGCGTCGAGCACGGTGCTGATGGCGGCGAGCGCGAGCACGGCGGCGAGCGCGCCGGCGAACGCTCGCTCGTTGTACGTGAGCGGCGGGTCCGCGCCGCCGGCGCCGCGCCGGCAGTACTCGAGCTGGTACAGCCGCGCCGACAGGTTGTACGCCGACATCGTGCTCGCGTTTACGCACGACTCGAACCTGGCGCCGAACACAGTCATACGAATTAAGGATTTTTTTTATCCATCATAGAGTGGCAAATACGCTGACGGCCCACCTGATGGTAAGTGGTAACCGTCACCTATAGACATGAGCAGTACCATGGACATAACAGAGTACACTGTTTCGCCCATGATACCCCCCACGCGTTGCCATTCTTGAGGACTCAAGTATTATTCCTCTGTACCCTGTATATTATTTCACATATCCCACCCTTCAAACCGAAACACAACCATGCAAACACAACTGCTTCATGGTAGAAACACGAATGGGACAGAGGTTCCCAGCAAACGACTTTTGTACAAAGTCTCTCTCTGGTTTTTTTTTTTGAGGACTTGAAAGCAAATTGAGGAAAAGACTCTCCTATCAAATCCAAGTCCTCACTAATATTATAAATGTGAATATTTGTAAAGATATTTCGATGTTTGTTGCTCAATTACGCTTAAATGATTGGAATTTAAAGTACGCGGGTAAAACCGCCAGATACAACTAGTATTATAAATGTAATTTTTACAACACAGGGGGCAAACGAGCTTGCGGCTCACCTGATGGTAAGTGACTACCGCTGCCCATGATCACCCACAACACTAACGGCATTGCAGGTGTGCTGCCGGCCTTTTAAAAAGGAATATACAGTACACATATTAAATGTTACTTTATTTAATTTTATTTGTATCCATATATCCTCAATAGAGCTCTGCCAATCTGATCGAAATACAACATCTATTCTCTTAGATACGGCCATCAATACTCCACCACCATGACTTTTATTAAATTGATTTTTGAAAGATGTATCTCTATCTCGCCTAAATACACGATATCGATCATCAAACAATTCCGATGAAAAAACAGTATCATCCAACCAAGTTTCACACAGACAAATTACATCATAATCGCTACTCAGTACAGAATTATATATATCAACACACTTAGATTTCACTCCTCTTACATTCTGAAAATAGATCTTCAAATCCATATAAAGATCCGAAATATAATATATAGAAATTAAAAATAAAATAAATAGTTTATTTCATCAACTCTAGTGATTGAATGTTTTTTTATGGATATGTAGCGAGTATTTTCGTCCTTACGGATGTAAATGCGTCCGTTTCGAACCCAGACGTATTTAAAGAGTTTCTCCTTAGCCTTTAGACGTGCAGCAGCGTGTAAAGCTTTGTTAGCTGGCGAAAGATGCTCGGATACATATACCGCAGTTGTTTCTCCCGGGACACCAATCAATCCTGTATTCAATCTATCATTAGGGTGAGATTTATTGTAACGATGAATGGCCGAGATAAATTCGTCACGTTGACGTGGACTTCTCAGTTTAACAACAATAGAACGTGGTTTTTTGTTATCCTTGTTATATTTAGCCACTCTGGTAACACTTAGGATGTCTCTATTATCCAGTGTGTATGATGAAACATCAGCAATTTGCTTAATAACAGATAATAAATTTTCAGATTTAGATTCAGTGATTCCGTTTATTTCTAAATTAGATTCCCTGAGACGCTGTTCAAGATCACAGATTTGGTCAGTGAGTTTCTGTACGTTTTTGCGTGTAACACTATACTCCTCTTCATGTAGTCGATATTTAGCTGATAATCCTTCTAATTTTTGATAAAATTCTTCGTACCTTTCACTAAGAAAGGTTACAGAATTTTGAAGTTTTTCTAATTGGTTGCTAATTGGAGAGAGATGTGACTTTAATACGTTCTGGATAATTAATGGCAATTCAGACCTAAGAGCTGCAATAATTTCATCCTTTAGGGTATCTCTTGCTGTGCCGCCAATTACAGCCTTCTTCCTATAATTTTCCAAAATTTCCCCTTGATCAGTGTCGTCTTCGTCAGATTCGTTTTGTTTTTTATTGTTTTCAGAAGGCGGTTTTAATGGAGTACTTGAATTATCTCCTTTGTGACCTAATTTAGCTATGCAATCAGGGCATGACCATCCTTCTGCTATCTTAGTTGTAGGTAGTACTTTATTGCTTTGAAAATTGACACACAGCTGATGAAAGTCCTTTTTGCATTTAGGGCATTTAACTCTCTGCCGTTTTATTTCTTCATTACATCCTCCACAAATGAATGGCATTTTAGAGATTCAATTCTTAATGTAGAAGAAAAAAAATTTAAAGAAATAATAAAAATATAAAAAAAAATTAAAATATAAAAAAAAACAATAAAAATAAAAAATATAACCAAAATTGCAACACTAAAAGGAAAGAAAAAAAAAACAGCATTAATAAATGAAAATGGCAAAAAAGTTTGTCAGGTTACGATCTTACAACCGTCCGTTCATTTAACTATTGATACAGTAAAAACTATACCAACAAGAATACTGCACGATTTGTTGAAATTACTCAATATATGAAAATGGAGTTCACTATAATTTTGTATGTGGTAGTTAAAGTAAGAAACTGTACTGATACCCTCAAACACTTCACAATTACGACCGCACTGTATTTCGAAATCCAATATATATAATCACCAGTTTTAAGAAAAGAATTATATTTTCACTACATTCAGAATGTTTTTATTAGTCACTTAAGATTACAGCTATAAAAGGGCGAGATGTCGACAGATTCCAGGGCTTGTCCACATTACATCGACAGATCAGTGCGTTCCAAAAAATAGCTTCACTACGATCGGCTATTGATCTTCAAATTGTGATGAAATATTTAGTCCAGAGTTGTAACAGATACACAATTAGTTCAGCTGGTTATCAATACTGCACAGTGATATAACTTTTGCTTACATTTGTAACCGTAATTTCACAGAATTTAATTAATTAACGCAGTGACAATGAACACGTATTTACTTGTAGCCACCATAATAATATACATAGCGTAACCAATGCACCGTTAAGGTACAAATACACGTTTTTATTATAGAATTAAAGCCGCATCGCAAACATAAGTAAATTGTGTGTAGTTTATTAGTGTGGGGGGGAAGGGATTGTTAGTCTAGTCCCATAGCTAGCTTAATACCCTGTTAGGTCGACCACCAGGTGGACCCACTGGAAACCATCGTATTAAATTGTCATCGTATTAATTCATCACAATGACATGCTTTTCAATTTCATGATCACAATTGACCTGCTTTTTCAATCTCACTTATCATCTTCCACTGGTGCCCCGCATATATATCCCTTTAGCGCAGGTAGGGTTACAATTCTATTATCATCCATTTGCAAAAAAATCAATATATTAGTGTTATTTATACATATACATATGTGACAACCCTATTTAATACTCGAGGTCTAAATATAAGAAGGGTAAATGCTCTAAAATTGCTTTATACGCGGTCATCTATGGTTTAAGCTGCCATACCGCAGTGACCTCCATGTCGATAGCGAGCAGTGATACGCCGGATAGTCGTGGGCACGAATCTAAACAATTACTTCGGAACACAGCCAATTAAATAGACGGTAGAACACGTAAAGGGAAGCGAACTCTCTCTTTATAGTCAATTCGATATATCTTGTAACATCTTGTAAGCTTTAAGTAGCTCCTATGTTACAACATAGATGTATTTAAGGGAGGGGAGGGCTTTTTTTATGGGTGATAATAGAATGGTAACCCCACCCGCGCTATCGGTATACACCGGGCGGGGCACCAGTGAAGGATGATAGGTGAGGATGAAGCAGATCAGTTAGCTCATCGTGACGAATTCAGCAAGAATCGTTCACGATGGTTTCCAGGGTGAACCACGTGGCGGTCGACCTAATAGGGCACATTGCTAGCAATGAGGCTGTCAAACTCCATTGCTAACAATCCCTTTCCCCCCTGGGAGGGGAGGGCTAGGTTGTCTACGCTTATCTTAGAATTGTCTGGTGCATAACTCAGATGCGAGCGACGATAACGAACTATTTCACTTAGTATATACATATAAACAACATACAAACCAGCAATATTTCCACATGTAAATAGAAAATGCTTAACATTGAATAGACAGAAATACCAAACACTCATTCATCAGTAAAAACAATGAGCAAAAATGTATCTGTGAGAACATTGTGTCTTTTTTAGTCAGCTTGTTTCCCCTACCCCGCAATATATTAATAGGGTAACATGGGCGAAACAGTCTCTGTTATGTCCATGGTACTGATCATGTGTATAGGCGACAGTTACCACTTTCTATCAGGTGGGCTGTCAGCTTGTTTGTCATTCTAAGTTGTATAAAAAAAATGAACATTAAGCATTAAAGTTACAGAATCAACATGAACCCTTGAAGGGCACAGCGATCACATTAAAGATTATATGACACTAAGTAGAGTCTTCTTTCTTTCTTTCTTTTATCAATACGTAGAACATACGAAGACTGTGATAGTCATTTTATCCGTTTATAATATTTTGTAGTAAACTTTTATTTAAAAAAAAAAATTAACTGTGTTTCTTGTCCGTTCTTCTCAGCTGAAATTTTAATTCCGAACTGGGCAGTCGTTTCATAAAAAATTTTACTATTCAAAAATGCTTGTTAATAAGTCTTTTTTTTAAATAAAAAGTATTTTGATTTATTTAAAATTTATTTAGTGTCTCGAGACGTAGTTTACCTGTAAGATTTTTATGAACACGTTAATGTACCTTCAGTGTTTTATTTTATTTATTTATTATAATAAACATAAAATGTCCATTACAGTTAATGTACCTATCAATAAAACCAACTTTATATTACATTGTGTCAATGTGCATGTACCTAACCTACAAGTACTGGGGGGAAAGGGATTGCTAGTAATGCGTATTACCTCGCACGCATCATTATATCATTATGCATCGCGATTAAAATGTGCTAATAAACGATTCGAAGCTAACCGGTTTTTAATGGGGGAAAGGGATTGTTAGTAATGGGATCTAACTGCCCCATTGCCAACAATACACCCTATCAGGTCGCGCTCCACGCGGTTCCCCCTGGAAGCCCTCGTGGTTAATTCTAGTGCAATTCGCCACGATGGGCTACCTGACCTGCTTTAATCGTCACCTTATTATCCCTCACTGATGCCCCGCCAGCGTATATCGTTAGCGCAAGCGGGATGGCCATTCCATTATCATCCATTAAAAAACTATAAGTACTAGGGAGAAAGGGATTGTTAGTAATGGGGTCTAACAGCACCATTGTTTGCAATATATCCCATCAGATTGATCTGCACGCGGTTCCCGTTGGGAACTATCCAGGTTATGAATTGTTTAATTCGTCACGATGAGCTAACTGACCTGCTTTCATTCTCACCTATCATTCTTCACTGACGCCCCGACAGTGTACATCGATAACGCAAACGCGGTCATAATTTTATTTTCACCCATTAAAAAACCTATAGGTATTGAACCGTATTCTTAACAAGCAACAAACAAATAAAATGGACAATACAAAACAAAACTGAGGATTGTTAGTAATGCGGACTACCAGTCCCATTGCTACCAATATACCCTGCCGGGGGAAAAAGGGATTATTAGTAATGGAGACTGAGAATCCCATTGCTAGCAATATACCCAACCAGGTCGACCTCCTCGCGGATCCCCCTGGAAAATATCATGGTTAATTCCTGATGAATTCATCATGATGTGCTAACTGGTCTGTTTTCATTCTCATCTATCACCCTTCACTGGTGCCCCGCCAGCGTATCCCATTAACGCAGGCGGGGTTACCATACCATTTTCACACACCAAAAAAAAATACCCTGCCAGGTCAACCTCCACGTGGTCTCCCCTGGAAACCAATATGCTGAATTCCTGTGAATAGATGTTTTTATCACGATTGGCTCTTTCATCCTCACCTATCATCCTTCACTGGTGCCCCGCCGGTGTATACCGATAGCGCGAGCGGGGTTACCATTCCATTATCATCCATTAAAACAAAATGTATATAATAAGTAACAACTTATAATAAGTATATAATATAACGATGATTCCTGTACATTTGAGATAAATAAGAAAATTGTCATGAACATCATCCATTTATCGTTCAAACTTTATTTTTTTTTTATACAACTTAGAATGGCAAACAAGCTAACGGCCCACCTGATGGAAAGTGGTAACCGTCGCCTATAGATATGAGCAGTACCATGGACATAACAGAGTGTACTGTTTTGCCCATGATACCCCCCATGCGTTGCCATTCCTGAGGACTCAGGTGTTATACCTCTGTACCCAGTAAATTCACGCCATATCCCACCCTTCAAACTGAAACACAGCCATGCAAACACAACTGCTTCACGGTTGAAACACGAATGGGACAGAGGTACCCAAGCAATCGACTTTTGTACAAAGTCTCCACACAACTTTAATTATTATTTCAAAATAATTTTACCCAAATTTTAATATTACAATAAATAACTCACCACGTATCCAAAGATTCTGTGTGGTGGCTGTCATTGTGGGCGCGCTGGTAGAGGGCGCTGGTGTCGCGCGGGCACCGGCGGCTCACGCACAGCCCCCGGTGCAGACGGGTGTGGTTGAAATTGTCCACCCAGTTCGCCGAGTAACGCTGCAACATAGACCGAGATTAGTACATTATTCTTGGTGTATTTTGCTTCAACAGAACTTATAAAGTGTAAATTAAAAGTTTAACCGACACACAATTTAAAACTATTTGAATAGCTAATTATTAATTGTTTCTATTCTGTAAAAGACCTTTTAAATAATTGTAATTTATGATACTGTTTGACATTGTAAAAATATAATTAATTGTAATTTAATCATTTCTATTAATGTTATTATGACTGTATTATTTTAGTAATTGTAAAAAAAAAAAAAACTTTTACACATCTATGTAATGGTAAATATTGCTGAGCAATTGTAATTGATTCTAAGGTCTGCTACTGGCGACCGGCAATAGTTAGTAAATAAAATTCCTTCATTCATGAACAAAGTGATAACTGAATTGACCGTAGACAGGTTGCTGTTTGTTTCACGAAAAACTCCAGTTTCAATTATGAAAAAAAAAAAAACAGTTATTATAATATATGGTATATTCTTTATTGCACTTAAACAATATATGCGACGATTAGTTTAACAACTTGTTAGCAAGGAAGGACTTATCTCTGAATTTTGATTTCAAACTAAAAAACCGATTTTTATATAATTTCTAAGGGATCAATCTGTGAATATATCCTTTCAGATAACAAAAGATTTTCCAAATTGTTGGAAACACCAAATTTAATATTATAATATGTCAACTCTAAAATTGTCCTCGCTCTCTTCCGTTACAACAAGCGTCCAATGTGCGACTATGTGTGTAAAAATATAATTAAAATAAATATATAGTGAAATTAAAAGGTGGTTTTGCAAAATAGAAATACAAATTCCATCACAAATCAATCTACATATCGCAGTCACACGGCCTGAGTTGCGTGTAAAAGATAATTAAAAGATAACGAAAGTGCCGGACAACCGTCAGTGGAGTCTGCCGATAAATATAATTGTTACTATCTAATGCGAATTAAGATTTTACGTTTCCCAAGCGTGGTGTTACCGAAACGCACGTTTTATTAGTGTTTCCAAATTATTGTTTATTTGTAACCGTTACTGGCCGAGTAGACGGCTACGTGTGATGCGGTATGAACTAGTATGGCCCAGGGAACGGGTCGGCTAGAACTGGAGCTTTGAATAAAATATTTGCGCGCCACACAGTTGAATGCAGAGAGACTTTAACATTAAAAATTTTTAATGTGTTAACCTGTACTCGAGCAAATAAAGTTCATTCATTAATTCATTTGATATTTCTATTTTAATTTATACTAGAAAAAAATAGAATAGAAAATATTTATTGCCAGAAAAACACAATTACAACAAAAAATACATATATAGGAAGTGTCTCATATTTTTTAGCAGTGTCACACCCTTAAGCAGAGTCAGTGCTAGTGAAAAAGGACAGGCTAATCTTTCATTTCATTTTGCTAGCTCGATTCTTCTCAACGGAACATAGAAAAAGTCCCTTCGACGTGCTCGAGCATAATTATTAATTAATTAAATATATGGTGAGATAGTACTCACCAATGTTTATAATATATGTCAACTTTTATAATATAATTGAGTTTTAAAAACAAGCAGACAAACTAACGTTTTGTTATATCATAACGCTCGGTCACGGGACTCACTCGCAAGATGCGCGCGCAGGTCGCGCAGGCGCTTTGTGATTGTTGGCTGCGCGCGCATCCCGCGCACGGGCCAGCGACTAGAGAGTTTTTTTGTTAACTTTGTCCATATTAACAAAAAACTCTCTATATTTAAATATTTATATTTAAAAATTTATTTGTTTTATTGTAAAATAATTATTGTTTATTTTATTATTATTGATTAAATTTATTTACAAGATGAACCCTACTATCAATCCTACAAATATCATAATATAATAATTAGTAACACCCGTTTTAAGATGGTTACGTCAATTAACATTCTATATATTCATACATGTACCTCAAAGATGTATGTATGAAATGAAGATATTTCCCTATAATCTTAAACTCTAAACTTTTAACATATTTTTTTATACAACTTAGAATGGCAGACAAGCTAACGAACCACCTGATGGAAAGTGGTAACCGTCGCCTATACACATGAGTAGTACCATGGACATAACATAGTATACTGTTTCGCCCATGATATCCCCCATGCGTTGCCATTCCTGAGGACTTAGGTATTATTCCTCTGTACCCTGTAAATTTACGCCATATCCCATCCTTCAAACCGAAACACAGCCATGCAAACACAACTGCTTCACGGTAGAAACATTAGTAGAGTTCGGTGTAACTGGTCAGTTAGTTTTGCGCGTGAGTTTTGTTTCGACATAGGTTACTTGTATGCCCTCAGATAGAACCAGATACAACTTAACCTGACTAGTTTTTCATAAATATATTCTAGCTAGAAGACTAGATAGACTTATTGTGATATGTAGGAAAAAATTGTAGGTACCTATCTAATTAAATAAAAAAAATCAACTTGGGCAGTTAACCTAGATGAATCCGTCACGCATATATTTTAGCTCAGATTCCTTTCGTAATTCATATAATACTTGTACTTACTCTGGTTGTTTCATAATTAAATGTAAATGTTTATAAAAAACTGCATAATTTTAAACGACAGTAGGTTTAAATTTAATTTATACCATATTCTAAGGACACAAAGCGCAGTTTTGCAAAATGTATGGAGAAAGTGTTATGTGCAACTAGACGGTGATCAGGTAACGGACGTCGTATGGTCACACTTGGTACACAGACAAATGTAGAATTTATTTTTCTGTAACTTCTCGCAGAATTACAGCCGTGTGGTCCCGGCATAGAATAGGTCAGCGTTGCTTTTCCCGTTCTAAAGAGAGTAGAGGACGTAGATGCATGGGCATCAGAATTCTTCTTAAAATATCACCAAAGCTTAACTGCGATTTCTAAATCGCCTGCCAAGCGTGGCAACTACAGACAAACAAAATAGGGGGAGGGAAATGTTCAGCAGTGGACAGTAGACGACTGTTATGGTATGGTTTAGTTCTCTCTGAATACAAGGATTTTGTTTACGTATTATGTGACATTTAGTGCAAATAAAAAAGCAACGTCAAAATGGGTGTACAATGTGCAAAAATATATTGAATAACATAAAAAATAATGCAATTGAATTAATACGTTCTAAAATACTACGGCTCATAATTATTGATATAAGCAATTGACCGATTACCCAGCGAATTCTTCGGATTTGTTTATTTGTAAAAAGAATATATACTTAATTTTTTAGCAAAAAGCACCCAGAATAATTATTAAATCGGATTCTCTGGTCATTTGGTCACGAGTAGGAGATATTTTTTTCTAATTTGGTGTTGTTTACATAATCCATTGGCCAATTCCTCATAACGCTGGGTATCCTAGTTTGATGATCAGGTAATTAATTTGATTGTTTCAGTTATTATTATTAATTCAGTTTTTTCAAATCATCTTTTATATCTATTCTTTCTTTTTATATACCACTGAGGTGCCAAACAAGCCTGCTGGTTAACAACACCTGATGGTAAGCGGTTACCGTAGCCTATGAACGCCTGCAATACCAGAGGTATTACGCGCGCGTTGCCGACCCTGAAGAAACCTCTTTACCCCCTTTTGAAGAACCCCATGCTGTAGTCTCTTGGGAAAACCTCGGCAGGGAGCTCATTCCATAACAAATTCATTTAATTCAATATTCAAATAGACTTGTTTACAAGCACTTCTAAATTGTCATTTTTTTATTCTAAAGTAGGGTTCGGAAGGTTGTTATCTGTTGAGAAGTGCCCGCAAGAAACTCAACAGTCGTTAGCCAATATGTAATCAGAAGCAATCGCGTGTGACATTATGGCCTCGATCTTGACACCAAAATACATCGTAGACTAGAATTCACCCCGGGAAATATAAATCATGGACACTTTTTTAATGGAGTGTCTATTTGTGAAATTGAATATTATATCCAAAGGAACGTGGATAGAAAATCAACTATGCTAACTAATAATACTATACTTCCCATACTAACTAACACGACGCGACCGTTACCACCTGGCCAGTTTGTAGGTACATGAGAGTCAAAATTTTCTATTGTCATCGACCCATAGTTTTTTGGACTATTCAACTATTAGTTACAAAAGATGTCAAAGATTTAGAATCACCAGTACATAGAAGAAGACAGTTTTTCCTAACCTATTTGATACACCATCCGATTCGGTTCAATCGTTGCAACAAACTATAAATATTATAAAGAAATGCATTATTCGAAAGCGGAGACAAAAACGCAGGCTATGTTCTCAGTTGACCGGTTTTCCGGGCCGCGGGTGCGCGCGCGCACCGCCGCGCCGCTTCAAATACATAATTGATGAAACAGTGAGTTACTAAACGCCGCAGACACGTGGTTGCACGATGTGTCGAAAGCACCGCGAACCTGCTGCAGGCTGTGGCCGCAACCGCAGCCCGGCACGCTACGAGTACTTGCGATCTGTTGTTATTTTATAACGATTTATAAACGACCAAATATATTTCTCCGCAGTAAACGCGCAATCGTGAACGCACCGATAAACGACGATACCATAGATAGGTACCTACCCTGTGTTGCAACAAGCAATTATTTACTCCGTAAATAAAAACGGTAACTTTAATATATAAATGGAACCAACGCTGGAGTAAACCCTGTCAATTGGAAAAAAACGTTGTGATAATCAGTTAAAAATTTTAGACATAAATGCGTGAAAAAGTCGCAAAAAATTAAAAGAATAAACTTAATTTAAATTAAGAATTATTATCTTAGAAGACATTGAAAAAAAAAAACAGAAAGGCGCGAACGATGTATCAGTAGGCCTACCATGAAATGATTTCCGAAATTTCGGGGACGAACGAAACAGAAATTTGATGTTAAAATTACATAATACATGCCGTTTAAAATTATTAAAAATGTTAAAATATCGTTCCTTTCAACTATTAGGATAGGATTTATGATGAACGAAATGTTAAGCTCCATTTACTGGCTCGATTTCGGTACGAACAAAACACGAAATTGAGCGCGAAAATTCGGAAATTCATTTCATGGTAGACTACGTGGTCTGGTCTAGTATGGATTGACTGCGTTAAAATTGCATGCTCCTTCAAAATCCAAAGAATTAAACATACTTACAAGGTTTCGATCAAGGAATATATATTTCCTAATTGTACTTGTAAATTACATAGATAATAAATTTATAAACATTGTGATATATTACTCTGGCTGGCCGGACTGCTACTGAAGATGTTCCCTCACAAACAAGCAGAGCACCATGTCCGAATATGATCACACATATTGAAGTGAAAGTTGTGGCCTGCCATGTTTATTTATACCATATGGTATGGATATGGCAGTGAATTTACTGGGTACAGAGGAATAACATCTGAGTCCTCAGAAATGGCAACGCATTGTGGGTATGATGGGCGAAACAGTGTACTCTGTTATGTCCATGGTACTGTTCATGTCTATAGGCGACGGCTACCACTTTCCATCAGGTGGGCTGTCAGCTTGTTTGCCATTCGAAGTTGCATAAAAAAACATCTATAGAATAGTTCGTGTGTTGCTGTAACTTTACTGTCAGGCGCGCCATATGCATGTTTGCGATATTAGGAAATTGCATAACTCGGTACAACAGTTGTTAGTTAATCTCTCAACCGCCCCAGGCGGATTATCCAACAAAAGTTGCTATATTTTAATGTAATTACTACCGATTCAACATACGTGCTGGTTAATTAGGTCGAGAAAGCTCGACTAGTTTCGGGATCAATTCGGAACCCTTAATTAGCGGCAGTTTTTGAATGCCGTCTTTCCTCACGAACAAACTAAATGTGTGAATGATGTATGTATGTATATAATTTATTGCACTTATAAATTACATTATTAATGCATTTATAAATATTGTGAGCAAGCGTGGACTTATCTCTGACAGAGATCTCTTTCAGTCAACCCGATACAGTTAGAAAGCATGTCGTTAGCGAGCAGCTGAAGAGCTACAACTATTAATATTTAGTGTGCATAAACAAATATACAGTTAAATAAAATATTAAGAGACATAATAAAATATTACATAAATACATATACTATAAATAAATATAATATATATAATATCAACCTACTTATACAATGATGTTACAAATAAATGAATATACTACCTACAATAGAAATTTAGAAAAATGAAAAATTAAGATTATATATATATATATATATATATATATATATATATATATATATATATATATATATATATATATATATATACGGCAACTGTTGCAATGTATTAATATACGAACCTGCATGATCTGGAAGAGCTGGTGCTGAGGCTCGGCGGAGAGCTCGAAGCTGCCGAGGCAGTAGACGCCGTGCGTCCCCAGACACTGCTTGTAATCGTCCAGGTGGAACAGAGGCGGCATCTGGTAGTAAAGATCATCTGTAACAAGAATTTTTTTTATACAACTTAGAATGGCAAACAAGCCGATGACCCACCTGATGGAAAATGGTAACCGTTACCTATAGACATGAACAGTATCATAGACATAACAGAGTATACTATTTCTCTCATGATACCCCCATGCGTTGCCATTCCTAAAGACTCAGGTGTTATTCCTCTGTACCCTGTGAATTCACTGCCATATCCCACCCTTTAAACCGAAACATAACCGTGCAAACACAACTGCTTCACGGTAGAAACACGAATGGGACAGAGGTACCCTAGCAAACGACTTTTGTACAAAGTTTCCCTCTGGTAAAATTAAACAATAACTAATATTTATTTTATACTTCTGACTGGAGTCTGTTGATTGGCCACCATATACCTTTAATCCTTCTTTATACCAAATCCATAACATATATAACAAAAAATAAATTTACTTCTTAAAAAGCTCCCGTATAGTCCCGGCATAGAATAGGCTACCATTGGGGGGAAAGGGATTGTTAGTAATGGAGACTGAGAATCCCGTTGCTAGTAATCGTTGCTAGTATGGTAACCCCGCCTGCGCTAACGAGATACGCTGGCGGAGCACCAGTGAAGGGTGATAGATGAGAATGAAAACAGGCCAGTTAGCCCATCATGATGAATTCATCAGGAATTAACCATGATAGTTTCCAGGGAGAACCGCGAGGAGGTCGACCTGGTTGGGTATATTGCTAGCAATGGGATTCTCAGTCTCCATTACTAACAATCCCTCCTATCCCCCTATGAAATCCCCCCCTAGGGATTTCATAGGGAGATAGGGGGGATTGTTCCATCCCCCTATGAAAAACTATTAGTGGCTTATTGTGTGATCCTAAACTGTACCTATTTGCTCTAGTGTAGCCCTGATTTTCCTGTGAACAATTAAATATCCTGGTCACGCGAACGACGTCGCATGTAACAACTAGTCTTGTTGGTAAATATTTGTATGTACAATTATTATGACCAGTGGCAGCGCTGTACTGAGCAGTAGCGCAAAGCAAGCAAACCATTAGAAAGTCATAACATCGTCGAGACTATCAAGTCTATGGTATATGTGTTACCACGCCTTATATAAAATTCTATATTGTGCAAGTAAAATATTATCATGGTATTTTATATTTGAATTTGTTCATTAAAGTAATCGTTTAACATTCCGTTGGTAAACATTGTTGTTGACGCACTAACAATATATATATATATATATATATATATATATATATATATATATATATATATATATATATATATATATATATATATATATATATATATATAGATGGGCTAACTTGCTTCATCCTCACCTATCATCCTTCACTGGTGCCCCGCCAGTGTACGAGTATACCGATAGAGCGGCTGGGGTTACCATTCTATTGTCACCCATTAAAAAAAAAGTTTTCATCAGGTGGGCATTAGCTTGTTGGCCATTCTAAGTTGCATAAAAAAAGTTGCGAAATCGGGGTGAGTGACATGAAAATGGATTAAAAATTTGCTCAGGACCCAAGGTTCACTAAGGCCGGCCCTGTCATAAGCTAGCATAAGGAACGTCCTGAGCCACCCACTGACTCCCAGCACCATTTGAGGTCGTCACTTCATTTTGCGTCCTGTATAGCGTTATGTTATTTTGGTATCGGGCAATGGGGCCCTATTTATACTTATTAATCAACTTATGGCTAACTTATACTACATAGGGATAGCCTTATAATTTGTCTCATCGCGTGATAAAATCCAAAATGAAGATGTTTTGGAAATGTATGTATTTCAGTTCCGTAAGCCATACATATACATAATACATATAAGTCATACATAAAATAGAGGGCAAAGGAGGAAAGGGGAAGACCGAGGAATAACTACATGGGACAGGTAAAGGAAACACTAGGCATCATGTCGTATAGAGAGGTCAAGGATATGGCCTGGGATAGAGCTGGCTGGAAGAGGATGCATAATTTGGTTGCACTGACAAGAGGAAACTTTTTTTTTATACAACTTAGAATGGCAAACAAGCTGACGGCCCACCCGATGGAAAGTGGTAACCGTCGCCTATAGACATGAGCAGTACCATGGACATAACAGAGTATACTGTTGCGCCCATGATACCCACCATGCGTTGCCATTCCTGAGGACTCAGGTGTTATTCCTCTGTACGCAGTAAATTCACGCCATATCCCACCCTTCAAACCGAAACACAGCCACGCAAACACAACTGCTTCACGGTTGAAACACTAATGGAACAGAGGTACCTAAGCAATCGACTTTTGTACAAAAACTCTTAAATGAAAGAAGCCATACATATCTCTGAGTATTATTTTGTATGCGAAGATGTATTATGTAATTAAATGTGGGTAATTCGGTTTCGCCTTTGACTAAAAACCAGTGTTACTAGTCTAGGTCAACGTCAGCATTACGGCCGAGAATGCAAGAATTTTTAGATAATACGTAATAACTAATTAATGAATATCTTGCCAAATAATATCTAATTTTATATTTCTATATTTATTTGTTAAATTTGTAGCTAAAAATAACTGAAATAAATGAGATAGGAAGTCAGTTTTACTTTTATCTTTCTCTCTCTAATTATTCACCGAAAGATCGAGTTTGATAATGTATCCGTGTTTATTTTGGTATAAAAACAACTTGGAATTGTAAACCAGACGTCCTACCTGATGGAAAATCATAACCGTTATCTAATAGGCATGAAACAGGTGGTATCCGTGGAACACGCTAAATCAATCAGCTAAACTATAGGTTTTACTTCTAGTTTTCTGTCTTTTGCAGTGATGTATCGTTCTTTACAACAGTTACATTATAATGAAAAAAATAACATGATGCTTGTAGGGGGAAAAGGGATTGTTAGTAATGGAGACTGAGAATCTCATTGCTAGCAATATACCCAACCAGGTCGACCTCCTCGCGGTTCCCCCTGGAAACTATCATGGTTAATTCCTGATGAATTCATCATGATGGGCTAACTGGCCTGTTTTCATTCTCATCTATCACCCTTCACTGGTGTTTCGCCAGCGTATCCCGTTAGCACAGGCGGAGTTATCATTTCATTGTCATCCATCAAAAAAAAAAGCAAGATGCTTGTTAGCATAGCTCCATTGCTAACAATATACCTTCTAAGAACAAGGAATTACATAGAAGGAATGATAAAATAAAAACTGTAAATCATATGGTTGCCTCCTTTCTTTTTATGCAAATATAATTAGTAAAAAGACGACGAAAGATACACCATCAGATGCTTTTTCCTCAATTCATAGCAGGCTAGTGTATAGAAAATGTTTGATATGTCAATTATTTATCAATGACAAATTTTACATTACTAGAATATATGTTCGACACAGTTTGTGTAGAAAGTATGCGAGCAGGTTGTATCTGAATTGAGTAGGGTTATACGGCCGTATAACATTTTTTATACACTAGCCTGCTATGAATTGACAAAAAAAAAAAACAACCGATGTATATATAGCAAAAGAAATACCGAAGTTTACCCCGAATATCTAAACTTACAAATATATATTAGGAGTACAAATAAGTTTCCGCCGTTTTATTGTGGATGGCGCGGCACGGAGTTTCGGTTAGCTTTCGCAGATGATAACCGGCTTAAAAAATAGTTTCGACATTCAAGACCAACATAACCTATTAATATTATTGATTTGATATTGGTAAAATATAATTTTTATAACTTGAAAATGTCAAAATTTGAGCCAAATAAGCGTCATTTGCGGGAAATATTAATTTACTTCTTTAATTTAAAGAAATCTGCTGCTAAGGCGCATCAATTGCTCGTAGAAGCATATGGTGAGGGTGCTTTGAGTGAGAGAACGTGTCGAGAGTGGTTTCAAAAGTTTAAAAACGGTGATTTCGACGTAGAAGACAAAGATCGCAGTGGAAGGCCAAAAATTTACGAGGATGCAGAATTGGAGGAATTATTGGAGGAGGATTCATCTCAAACACAAAAAGAACTTGCTCTAACATTAGAAGTCACTCAGCAAGCAGTCTCACATCGTTTAAAATCATTAGGAATGATTCATAAACAAGGAAATTGGGTTCCGTACGAATTAAAGCCGAGAGATATTGAACGCCGATTATGCTTAAGTGAAATGCTGCTAGCTAGACATAAAAAAAAGGGTTTTTTACATCGTATCGTAACTGGTGATGAGAAGTGGATACGTTATGACAATCCAAAAAGAAAAAAATCATGGGGATTACCTGGCCACGCGTCAACATCAACAGCAAAACCGAATATTCACGGAAAAAAACTTATGCTGTGTATTTGGTGGGATCAGCTAGGTGTAGTGTATTATGAGTTGCTTAATCCGAGCGAAACAATTACTGGAGCCCTCTATCGAACACAATTGATGAGATTGAGCCGAGCTCTGAAAGAAAAACGCCCTCAATACTATTCTAGACACGAAAAAATTATTCTTCTGCATGACAATGCTCGTCCACATGTTGCGGCTCCCGTAAAAAAGTACTTGGAAACACTTGATTGGGAAGTGTTACCCCACCCGCCGTATTCACCAGACATTGCACCGTCCGATTATCACCTGTTTCGGTCCATGGCACATGCTCTGACGACGCAGCGGTTTACATCTTATGAGGATACCAAAAATTGGGTTGATTCGTGGATAGCCTCAAAAGACAAGGAGTTCTTCAGACGTGGAATTCGAATGCTGCCTGAGAGATGGGAAAAAGTGGTTGCAAGTGATGGGCAATATTTTATATAAATCTATATTACCGTTCTTCTATAATAAATATTTAATTTGTGTTAAAAAACGGCGGAAACTTATTTGTACTCCTAATATTTTATTGTTATCCATTCATAATATTAGAATTAAAACATTAATATTTACAACAATGCACTTGATTTGACAAGTAATAATTTAAATAACGCCTATGTTGTTTGTTAGATTTTTTTTATTCAACTTAGAATGGCAAACAAGCTGACGGACTGCCCGCCTGATGGAAAGTGGTAA